AATACCTTAGTACAAGGTTATTCACTGCAGTATTATCATAGTAAAAACAAAACAATAACACCCTAGAAGTAAACAATTTAAATAAACATCAGTAAGGAAAGAAGAACAAAGTTGGAGTGATCACACTACTGGATATCAAGTTATACTACAAAGACACTGAAATCAAAACAACCTGGTACTGACACAAGAACAGGCATATAGATCAATGGGACAAAAGAGAACCCAGAAATAGACCCAATCTATTATTCTCAATATGTGACAATGGTGTGAAGATGTTGGGAAAATTGAACAGGAACATGTAAAAAAATAAAATTAGACAACCAACTTACATCATACACAAGAATAAACTCAAAAGGGATTAAAGACTTAAAAGTAAGTCATGAAACCATAAAAATCCTAGAAGAAAAAGTAGGCAGCAAACAAAATATCAGACATCTCATGCAACAGAATTTTCACAGATACATCACATAGGGCAAAAGAAACAAATGAAGAAAAGAAAAAAAAAAGACAACTAAAAAGCTTCTGCATAGTAAAGGAAACCAGCATTAAAATGAAAAGGGAACCCACTGAAATATGGAGAACATATTTGCCAATGACACATCTAATAGGGGGTTAATTTTCCAAATATTTAAAGTACTCACACAACTCAACAAAAGGAAGTCAAACAATCTAATTTTTTTTAAAAAATGGGTAGAAGACCTGAATAGACATTTCTCCAATGAGGACGTACAAATGGCCAAGAGACATATGAAAAAATGCTTAGTGTCACCAATCATCTGAGAAATGCAAATTAAAAAACCACATTGAGATATTAACACCTGTCATAAAGGTTATCATTAATACATCAACAAACAATAAGGGCTGGCAAGGATGTGGAGAAAAACAACCCTTGAACATTGTTGGTGAGAATGCAAACTGGTACAACCACTATGGAAAACAGTTTCCTCAAAAATGAAAAATGGAACTGCCATTTGACCTAATAATCCCACTTCTAGGAATATATCCTAAGAAGCCTAAAACACCAACCAGAAAGAGTGTACGTAACCCTATGTTCTTGGCAGTGTTATTTACAATATCTAAGATCTGGAAACAGCCCAAGTGCCCATCAATAGATGAATGGATTAAAAAAACTGGCACATATACACAATGGAATACTATGCAGTGTCAAAAGGATCCCTTACTCTTTGAGACAGCATGGAGGGACCTGGAGAGTACTATGCTAAATGAAATAAGTAGACAGAGAAAGACAAGTATCACACGATCCCACTTTTATGTGAAATCTAATGAAGAAAATAAACTGACGAGCAAAATAGAACCAGAGACACTGAGGCATGCAACACACTGATATATTTCAGAGGGAAGGATGAAGGCGGGAATAATTAAATCAAGAACTTACATGCATACATGCATAACCCGTGGACACAGACAATGGTGCAGTGAAGAGCTGGGGAGGGGGCAGGAGCGGGATGGAGGGAATTAATGGATGGGGGGAAAGGGAACATTGTACTCCTTTCGTCAATAAAGATAATTTTTTAAAATCATCAGTAAACAGAAGGGACTAGTTCAACAAAAAATAGTAAATCCATAGATGGAACCTATAAAGTAATTTAAAAAGAATCAGGTTACTGTGATCAGGCCACTTGAACATTCTCAAAGGTACACTACAAAGCAAAAAGAGCAAGATGTATAATACAGTGTACAGAGTATGTTACTACTTATGTAAAAAAATGAAGGCAATATATTTTATTACATATAAATCTCTCTGCAAAGCTGCACAAGGTAATGACAATTCTTGTTGCCTCGGGGGTGGGACCAGGTGGCTGGCAGAGAGACAACTTTTCAACCATATGAATGTTGTACTTATTCAAAACATTATTTAAAAGCCATTTTAAAATGAAATACTTTTAACCTCATTATAAGCATCTGCTTCAAGTGTTAAAAAAATGCAACTATTGCTCTGGCTGGGTGACTTGGTTGGAGCATCATCACATACACCAAAAGGTTACAGGTTCCATTCCTGGTCAGGGTACATTACTTAGATGGCAGGTTCGATCCCTAGTCAGGGAGTATACCAGAGGTAACCAGTCAGTGCTTCTCTTATATCAATGTTTCTCTCTCTGTGTCGCTTTCTCTCAAATCAATAAAATATATCCTCGGGTGAAGATTTAAAAAATGCAACTATTAAACATACTGATACTGTAAGGGGGAGGCGCTTTGGATATATAACAAAAAGCCCAATTATAAATTGGAGTTACAATTAAAATGCTATCATGGCAGTCATTTAATAGTAATTATGCCTTTTTAAAGTTTAGAATGGCTTTTGGGAGACAACTTGAATGACCCAAGCGTATCTCAAATTTTACAATGCAGACCAAATGTTACCACAACTATTCTCTCACTGAAAACATTTTCGTGAAGGACTTGCTCAATGTTTCTCCCATGTACTCTCTCTTCCTCAATTTATTTAAAGCTACAAGTGCTGCCAGTCAGTAGCAAACCAAAGCACCACCACAGGAAACAATAAATGTCATTGTCACTCACTTTCACGGTTCTTTGCTGTAGCTAACTTTGGCTCTCTTACAGTCCACCTGCCGGAAAGAAGTTGGAGCAGGTACTCAGATCATTTGCCCTGTAATGAGAGGCTCATGTCCAGGAGCCCGAACCCCTGTAAGACACAACATACCAAACATGTCTTCTCAAGAACTATATAACCTTCAGTGAATTTCCTAAAGATGGATTTGAACTCCCTTCCCTCTGCCTCCAACCCCTGGAAAGCACTGTGTTTATAGCTATCAACATTCTGCTCTGAAACAGAACCAATGCTCCCTGGTGCTCTGGGGTATAAAGAGGACCCGGAGGTCAGCCAGATATCGGCACCACTCTCAGACAGAAAGACATTTTTGTAAGTTGGAAAGTGTTTCACTTTTACCCAAAATATACACTGCTCTACCTCATTTCTAGACTACACATAGATACAGAAGGGTTTTGTGCATTTTTAAAAGACTGGCTACTATCTAGAGCTTTGACAGTTTAAGTTCTATAAACAAAACATTTATTTGAATCAAAGTCTCAAATAAATGAAACTAAAAATGATGTTCACAACACCAAGGCTCATTAAAATATTTTTTAATATTAATATACTTTCTTCTCTCTCAGAAATACACAAAACTTTTAAATATTACATTCATATTACACAACAAAATCCTAATGACATCAATAACTTACGTTTTACAAACAGAATAGTCTACACATTCAAAAACACTTTCAATAACTTTTTCACTCATATTTTCAGGTTAGTCCAGACCCAGGTGGAATGAGGGTTGCTTTAATGAGGGCAGTTATTTTTGTAATTTCAGTTTTTCACAGCTTCGTGCACATGCAATCTCACTGTTGATGAAATAGAGAATTGTAATATTTCCCATTTCTTAACAGTCTTGTTATGGAACAGAAAAACACATCCTGTGTGCTCCATTTCTTGGAGGAGTCAGTTGTTATGAAGAACCGTTAGGGCTTGTCTTTTCTGAATGGTTTCTGAATGCTTTAAATACGCTTACTCCAAGTTTTGAATAATTGCCTAGTCCAGTGGTTGGCAAACTGCAACTTGTGAGCCACATGCGGCTCTTTGGCCCCTTAAGTGTGACTCTTCCACAAAAACCACGTGTGGATGAGCGCATACAGTGCAATTGTAATTTCGTGGCCCACGTGCAGAAGTCAGTTTTCGGCTCTCAAAAGAAATTTCAATCATTGTACTGTTGATATTTGGCTCTGTTGACTAATGAGTTTGCCGACCACTGGCCTAGTCTATTTTTCCTGGATGTGTTACTTCTTGAACATGAGCAGATGGTGTGTAGGTTTTCAAATTAATGGATGAGGTAGTTCAATCAATGTAATCACAGAGGCTTGAAGTGTAAAGGAAAAAAAAAAAAAAGCGCTTTTTCTATTAACCAAAATGTACATACTTCTAACTCATCCATTACAATCTTTGGAGTGGTAAGAGAAAAGAAAAAACAAAGAGGGCATGATGAATCCTGAGAGTACATGTAAGGGAAAGGATGAAAATATCTCACCTAAATGGTTGTTCTGTAATAAAAGTTTTCCCAAGAGTAGGCTGCCTCATTTATATTTCTGTTTTCCAATTTTCTGAGTTACAAGAATCCTTTCAATAGATACCACACACATATATGCAGCATATTATATACACTATTGGCACTGGCCAACAATTTAAAATACTCATGAAGCACACGTAAGTGTAAGGCACCTTTGCGGTTTACAAAAGTGAATGCCTCAAAGTTGGGTATTTTCTAAAATGAAGAAATAGGATCCCTGAAAAACCAAGTCGGCATGAATCACGAGTGATCTTGGCCAACATCTGAGAATCTTGGTGTAACTCAAGAGCAGAGATAAGAGGTAAATAATTTTTAAATTACAGAGTTCTGTATATCAGTGCCAGGATTCTAAAACTGCTTTCATAAAAACCTATCAGTTCTATGTTTTTTTAGTTTCTCAACCAGAGAAAACTGATAAGTTGGCAACAATCATTCATAGTGTACTGCTGTTTAGATTTAGTGTTGACACCACACCAAGTTAGTTATAAAGATCTGGGAATAAAAAAAAACTTTGCATTTCTCTGAAAATTCTACAGTTCAATAGAATCTTACTCAAACTACTTAAAGTGTGAAATTTCATGTATATTTTAAATCAAGAATTCCCAAATACAAATATTGTTGCTCTAAATGTGAATTTCTCTCTGACTTTAAAATTAAAAGATCTGGCCCTAACTGGTTTGGCTCAGTGGATACAGCATTGGCATGCAGACTGAAGGGTCCCTGGTTCAATTCCGGTTAAGGGCACATGCCTGGGTAGTGGGCTCGATCACCAGTAGGGGCATGCAGGAGGGAGCTGATCAATGAAATGATTCTCTCTCATCATTGATGTTTCTATCTCTCTCTCTCCTTCTACCTTCCTCCCTGAAATCAATAAAAATTAAAAAAACAAAACAAAAAAAAACTAAAAGGTTTGTAATCTATATTATATTTTCTTGACTACAAGAGACCAAAAAGCTTACTCTAAAGCCAAAAGATTAAGGGGATAAGCAAATTTTTGTGCCATCATTCCCAGAAATTCCAAAAGAGCTGAATCTCTAGATTATGGTTGGTGAGGGCAACGTCAATTAAGAAAGTCAAGTCCTGGTCAGCATTGCACAGTGGTTAGAGCATTGGCCCACAAAGCAAAGGGTCGTGGGTTCAATTCCCGGTCAAGAGCACGTACTTGGGTTACAGGTTCTATCTCTGGTTCAGTTGCAGTTGAGTGTGGGAGGCAACCAATTAATGTGTCTCTCTCATATCAATGTTTCTCCCTCCCTCTCCCTCTCCCTCTCCCTCTCCCTCTCTCTCTCCCCCCTTCTCTCTCTATATATATATATCCTCCACTCTCCTCCCTTTCACTCTCTCTGAAAAGCAATGGAAAAAATGTCCTCAGATGAGGATTAACAACAACAAAAAGAAATCAAGGATTCAGGACAGGTACAACTGTACCTTTCCTCTTTATTCACTAAATAAAAGAGCATGGTCTTTAAAAAACTATTTCTCTGTTATATTAGTTTAACAATTCAGTGGTTATTACATGAGATAACTAAAAATGCCACTTTCAAACCATTTTTTAGAAATTAAAGAATTTAATGAGTACGTTCTTGTGGATGTTGCTGAATGTGGTGATTAAAACGTGTAGCTAGCTCCTTCCATTATTTACAGTTTAAATCTCTGTTGTACTTCATCTGCAATCATTCCAGAAATTGCAAGGGACGAAGTAGCAGCAGGGGACGGTGCATTTCTCACATGAAGAATGCGACTTCCAATAACCCCATCTCCTCCATCAAATACAAAATCGTCTACCAGATTTCCATCTTGATCCAGAGCTTGGGCTCTTACTCCAGCTGGACCTCTGCAAAACCAAAAGTCGCAGTCAACTGACTGGAAGAAATGGGACACTTTATAAGTCAGTGGTCTCAAGGTGTTCTGAAATATTAAAGTCTTTATACTTCTAAATGCACAATCATGTGGAAACCCAATAGGCTTGTCAGTTACAGCCTTTAAACTTATATCCTTAATACCTGCCACGTAACAGTGCCAATAAATGCTCATCAAATGAATTTACCAATGGGTAAGTTACAAATATCTTTTCTTTCCAAAGTAGTAGATAAATCCATATTTAATTAGAATAAATGTATTTTTATTTAAATGTATAAAATGAATTTATTATAAATTCAATAAATTAAAATAAGGCTCTTCTGATTAATACAAAGCAATAAAAGTAGGAGATATGCATGCCAATGCATTCCTAAATCCACCATAGAGTACTATTTTTGTGTTTTGTTTTGACTGTACACTATTAAAATTTATGCAGAAAAATATTTGAAAATGGCAGCAATTTCTTATTTTGAAGGTTGTTTTAATTTTTAACAGTTTGGTCTTCAATATTGGACTAACCTTCAATTATTTAAAAAGATAACAAGATAAGAACAAAAACTAATTTGATAGTATGTTAAAACAGTAAGAGACTTTACTACTAAAGTGCTGTTTTATAACATGAGATTACAAATTAGATTTTTTGTTTTTAAAGTAGTTTAGAAATTTACAGATGAAATGTGAGTAAAATATTTTTAGACTCCAAAAGCACCTTCATTGAATCTGCTCAAGAAAACACAATTTGAAAATACCTGCCTTATACACACCACCAAAACTCAAGAAATAGGACAATAAATTAATAAACATTTTTATTGATTCTGGGCCAACGCAGGTAAGTACTTAAATAAAATACTGAGAACAATCTGGGGCTCTGCCCTCTGAGGCCTCAGCGTGGCTGAGGAGAGATAATGATAACAATAGCCATTATTTACCAATTGCTTACTCAGTGTTAAGAATTCTCTCATTCTGAGGGGGGGAAATCAACAAAATATGTAAAAAAATAAATAAATAAAATTAAATAAAATTAAAAAAAAAGAATTCTCTCATTTAATCCTTGCAACAACTCTAAGAGGCTGGTAACAGTTTATACTTAACAGTGAAGAAACATAGAGTGATAAAGTAACCTGCCTGAAGGTACACAGCTAAACTATTCATATGCAAGAAGTAAAAATAACAAGGGTGAAAGGTTCTACAATAAAGATAAGTAATCTGCCTTACAGAAGCCTGCAGAGAAATCTGGACAAGATTTTTTTGAACTGTAAGCATTTCCAAGAATCAGATACTTAGAACACAAGATGCAGTCAGCCAGCCCTAGCAGGTGTGGCTGAGTTACTTGAGCACAGGCCCACATGATGTACATGGGCTGCAGGTTTGATCCCCGGCCCCGTTGGGGAAATGTGCGGGAGGCAACAAATCACTGTATCTCTCTCACATCGAGGTTTCTCTCTCTTCCCCCACACCCACTTCCTGTAACACAAGTATTCTGTAATAGGGGTGGGGGAGTCTTATGAATCTACTAGATCAAGTGTTATTCAAATGTATATTTTATTTGCTTGATGTCTTCTATCAGTAGACCTAAGATCACTCACCATAGTTGTGGATTTGTTGTTTTCTGCTTACAGTTGTGTTAGTTTTTATTTTCTGTAGTACTTCATTTATATATATGCAATAAATTTATGGTGATCCTCTTAACCTCTAATAATAATTTTTGCCTTATGGTGTATTTTATCTGAAATGAACCCAGTACTCATCTTTCTTCTAATAAACATTTGGGTAGTATTTAGATGGATTTTTAAAGTCCAATCTAACAATCTCCATCTCAAACTATTAAGTACATTTACATGTACTGTAATTACTGAAATGTTTGATTTCTACCATATCACTGGGGTATTACTGGGGGGTTTCTGGTATTTTCACATTTCCTTCTTGACTTACTAAGTTTTCTATATTCTTTTTTCCTCCTTTACTGTCTTGAAAGTTATATAATCTATTTCTATTCTTGCATTTAATTTTATTTATTCAGATGAGATTCACTTGCATCCTGAATTTCGTCTTTTTGACAATTCCAGAAAATTCTCAGGCACTCTTCAAAGTATTACCTCTTCTCAATTTCTCTGGAACTTCTCTGAAATGTAGGCTGGAATCTTCTCATTTTCTTTTTGATGTCTTTAGTATCTACCCACATGATCTATATTTGTCTTGCAACATTTTTCTATAGTAAATGCTTCAAATTTTAATTTACTGATTTTCTCTTAAGGTTTAACCAGTTATCAAACTTAGTCATTTGAATTTTAAAATTTAAGAACTATATTTTTCATTTCTAGAAATTCTAATTATTTGGTTTCCAAATTTGCCTAAGTTTTGCTTTTTTGTTTTTGTTCTTATTCATGTTTTCCATTCCTTTTGTTTTTAATTCACTGAAGCATATTTACTTTATGGTTTCTAATATTACCATTACTCAAAGTTGTGGGGTCTTATTCTGGTATTTATTCTATCTGCTTACTCTCGCCTATGGTGTTTTATAACTTTCGGTGAAGAGTTTCTGTTCAGCAGGACTCTATCTGGGGGGAAATTGTGGGGTTGGGTTGAGGTTTTGTCCCTTCGCAGAGGTTTTACATTTGCTTCTATCCGGTGCTCCAGAGGTATTGCCATCCTGGGAACACTTTTTTTAAAATGGAATTTTAAAACATGTACAAAAATAGAATGAACAGTATAATAAACTCCCATGTATGTATTATCCAGATTCAATAAATCATCAACATAGCCAATCTTGTTTCATTTATATTTACACTCACTGCCCACCTCTCTTCACTGGATTATTTAAAAGCAGATTACAGATGGCACATCATTTCACTATAGTGTATATTTCTTTTAAAATAATTCTTTTAAAAAATGTATTTTTATTGATTTCAGAGAGGAAAGGAGAGGGAGAGACAGAAACATCAATAATGAGAGAGAATCATTGCTCAGCTGCATCCTGCACACCACACAATGGGGATCAAGCCCGAAACCTGGGCATATGCTCTGACTGGGAATTGAACCATGATCACTCAGATATACGTTCATCCACTGGGCCACGCCAGCCAGACTAAAAAACTTATTTTAAAAATAAATTAATTAATTATTGCTTAGTATCATTAATATTTATTTATTTTTAAATATATTTTATTGATTTTTCACAGAGAGGAAGAGAGAGGGATAGAGAGTTAGAAACATCAGTGAGAGAGAATCATCGATCAGCTGCCTCTTGCACACCCCCTACTGGGGATGTGCCCGCAACCAAGGTACATGCCCTTGACCAGAATAGAACCCGGGACCCTTCAGTCCGCAGGCCGACGCTCTATCCACTGAGCCAAACCGGTCCCGGCGGTATTTAGTCTGTAATCAGATTACCCTTATTTTCTCTCTCTCCCTCCTTTCTTCCATCCTTACCTCCTCCTCCCTCCCTTTCTCTCTCTCTCTCTGTCTCTCCTGGTTAAAGTGAGAGAGAGAGTGAGAAGAAGAAATAGTTTGAAGCAGGATCCGAACAAGTCTGGGCCTACTTTTTAAATTAGCTCCTCAGTATAATGTTCCTAAATTAAGCTGGGTGGTATAAATTCAAACTCCAAACAGCTATGAGGAGAGGCCCAGGGTTCCAGATTTTTAGGAGATTCTACCCACCCTTCTTTCCCCCTTCCCTCAAGACCAGGACAGATAAAATTCCTTCACACGTCCTGGTGCCAAGGGTCTTTTTTTAAGACTTCCTTTTCACTGAGGGTGCAGCCCTTCAAGAGTCCCTGGACCTCTTTTCCAGGGACTCAGTTCCAACTTTTTTTATTTATTTAATATATTTTATTGATTTTGTACAGAGAGGAAGGGAGAGAGATAGAGAGTTAGAAACATCAATGAGAGAGTGTCATCGATCAGCTGCCTCTTGCACACCCCTTACTGGGGATATGCCCGCAACCAAGGTACATGCCCTTGACCAGAATCGAACCTGGGACCTTTCAGTCCCAAGCCGACGCTCTATCCATTGAGCCAAACCGGTCTTGGCTCAGTTCCAACTTTTTACTTTTACAGATCCAAGACCTCCTTTCCAGCACTTGAGTAGCAACTAAAATACAAGTCCCTAAAATGGTATCAAACATATCTTCTATAACTTTCTTTTTATATCTTGTTTTCTGTGGTTGATACATGAGTTTATACAAAAGGAAAAATTCACTGACCACTTAAGATCTGCATTACTTTAAATCACAAAGCAATTAAAAATAAAACATAGCTATATTTATATAAAAATTAGCTAATCCTCCCCATCCCTCCAGGACAGCAGCAAGCGCCAATTCCTCTCAGTATTTGGGTTTTCTGCTTCCCTTCAGTCCTTGCTCTGGGATACCCCTTACTTTCTCGCACTCCCGGCTATATGTATTTCAACGAATTTTTATTATACTTTCTCTAGACTCTCTTCGTGTTGGGTAGTGTGCGGGTTATCAAATTTATTAGTTTACTGGTTCTCAACCAAGAGAGATTTTGCCCCCTAGAGGACATTTGGTGACGTCTGCAGAAATTTTTGGTTGCCTTAACAAGGAAGTACTGCCTGCATCTAGTCAGTAGAGGTCAGAGATGCTGCTGAACATCCTACAGTGAACTGGACAGTCTCCCACACCAAAGACTTATTTGGCCCCAAATTTCAATAGTGCCAATACTAACAAACACTGATCAAGATCACCTTTACTGCAGGAATATCTGGCTCTCACCTTTGCATTTCACAATGACACAGTATAGTCTTTAGCTATCACTCAGGATGAAAACATCTTGCCTGAAAATTTACTCTAGAATTCCCCAAATAAGAAATTTTTCAAAGTGAAGAGTGAGACAAGAGGAGATCTTGGCATTTATGTCTTTATCTTTTACATCCTTGCAATGTTAACAGATACAAACTGCTATTAGATTACTATGTCCAAATTAACAACAGAGCAAGTTAAAGGAGCTTAGAGCAAAATTAAGAACCTTTGAAATCATATTTAACAAGAAATCTTTATGCCTGATGCATATATATTGACAGATTATAACTTTACATTCCAATCTAATATTCACCAGTTAAGTTACTGTCCAAGATACTCTGGCTAGGCAATGAGAAGTCAAGCCGGATGCTCATTGGTGGTTACTGAAATTTAAAAACATCATCCTGAGCTAAATATCCCACTAAAAGTGCTGCTTCAGTTCTCTTTTATGATCCAGAACTGCTTAATATGCTTCTGTCTCAATATTACTGGTACAGCATTTATGTTTTACCACGATGGGTTGCATGATAAGCAAGATCTGAACTTCACAATGCGGGAAAGTCTATTAATCATTTTTATTATCATTATTTAATATTTCAGGCATATGACAAAGTACAGAGACTAATACGATGCACACCTGTTTTCTTAACAAACAGCTTAAGAAATAAAGCATTATAGATACGATAATAGCCCCTGTGGACCTCTCTGGATCCCATTCCCTCCTCTCCCCACAGGAACCACTCTCCTGAATTAGGTGTCTACCACTGTATTTGTTTTTATTTTCACATTACATGTGCAATCCATAAATAACATGTGGTATCGAATAACTTTATATAAATGGTATCAAACATATCTTCTATAACTTTCTTTTTTATTGATAATTTCCCCCATTTAATCATGATAAAAACTGAATAAAAGGGAAGGAGTAAATGGAATTATTTATCTATCTCCAAAGAGAGACTAATCTGTGATTGGGGTGAGTTTGTCCCTAAATGCACCTGCCTACAGCGCTGCATACTCTTCTCTACTACCTGCTAATGAAACTGGCAACCGAAGGACTTGTATACATGCATATATTGCAAGTACAACCAATGGACATAAAACTCTGGGGAGGGAAGGTATGTGTGCGAGGGAGGGAGGGGGGCAAAAAAAAGTCAATAAAATATCAATATATTTAATTAATTAAATAAATAAATAAATAAAAAGAAACTGGTAACTGAAATCAGCACCCTCACACCCAGAGACAGAGAAGTGTTCCCCAAAACCCACCAGCCCAGTCCAGTTCTAACTTAGGAAATCCACTGGTCTAAAGCGTTCCCCTCAGGCTTTTACAAAAGGGTGGTAATCAAATATGAGTACTAGTGAATTCACTGCAACTATTTATACACCTATTGTCTTTTCCAAGGAATATCAATAGCAGTAACAGACACCAGATTTGACCAACTTATTTTCAGATATAAAACATAAGTTTGCTAAAGCAAACCACTAAAAACAGAAAAGCCTTTTTTTTATATATAGATGAGTGAAAGAAAATAAAGCCTAGATATTTTTATTCCTTCCATTTCTAAAGGTAAGTAGAGGGGTGAGAGAGATAAGAGTAAAACATTAGCTGGGTTTTAGTAGGTCTTCTAAGGATCAAAAAGGCTGGACTGCAAATGATATATTAGCCAGACTGAGCAGGACGTTCCCCTAAGGGAGACAGCTGACGTGATGACTGCTCTCTTCCCAGATAGCCAAGCTGCTGACATTTTACACCAGGCAAGTTCTGCAGCTGTTACCGAGGCGACAGACATTTAGTTCTCTGAAGATTCATGGGATGGATTCATGGAGGGGAGTACCTCAGAGGACACTGCTGATGAGGCCTACCAAATGGTTTATTTGGGGAGGAAAAGGTGAGCTCCATACAAATGTCACCAAAGAGAAAAGGAAAGTATTTAGGTAGTATTTAGGACAATTTACAGATCTAGTTTAGAAAGCTTTTGACCTTTAAGGAAAAAAAACAAGACAAAACAAAACAAAAAAAATCACCAAAACAATTTAAGTAATCCTTCCTTTGACTCACATTGATATTTACTATTGGGTCTAGTAATAATTAATGTCGTTTTTAAACATTCGTTTAAAATCTTGCTTGGCGTTGACTTGTATTGACATAACCTTCAAACACGTGGTATCTACAGAACGTGTGAAGTGCAATTAACAAGTTTTGCTTGAAAAAGTTTGTGTTTGGTTTGGTTTTTGTTGCAAAACTAGGGCTAAGATGATGGCGGATGAAGAGCATATTCGGCACTGCATGCTTTACGAGTTCCAATTAGGAAGAAAAGCAAGTGAGGCTGCAAAAAACATCTGTAGTGCTCTTGGTCAAGATGCAGTTAGCGCCAGAAAATGCCAGCGTTGGTTTGAGAAATTTCGCGAGGGAAATTTTTCGTTAGATGACTAGAGTGGTCGAGGCCGTGTGTCCAATTTTGATCAAGAAGCTCTTCAAGCTCTTTTGGTGCAAAATCCTCAAATTACCCAACAAGAGCTTGCGACAACTTTAAATTGTTCTCAAAAAACAATTTCCAATCAATTGCGTGCACTTGGCAAAGTCCAAAAGTTTGGAAAATGGGTTCCTCATGAGTTGACCCACAACAACCGTAATCAAAGAGTCACAATTTGCAGTTCGCTCCTCTCTCGTCAAAACCGTTTGCCGTATTTAGAGCAAATTGTTACCGGAGATGAAGAATGGGTGCTGTATGTTAATTGAAAAGGCGGCCTCAATGGTTGGACAAAAATGAGGCTCCACAGCCCACGCCAAAACCTGACTTGCATGTGAAAAAAGTGATGTTGTGTGTTTGGAGGAATTTTAAAGGAATTCATTATGAACTTTTACCATCTACCCAAACCATGACAAGTGCAGTGTATAGTGCCCAATTGGAAAGGTTAGCCCAAGCTTTAAGAGAAAAAGAACCCGCGCTGATTAATCGGAAGGGCGTAATTCTTCACCACGATAACGCACGACCGCATACTGCAAGAATCACTGCTGAAAAACTGCGCCAGTTGGAATGGGAAGTTCTCCCTCAACCTGCATATTCTCCTGATATTGCCCCTTCCCATTACCATTTGTTTCGTTCTTTGCAAAACTTTCTTCTTGGAAAAAAATTTAATAATGAAGAATGCCTCAAAAATGCATTGACCGAATTTTTTGCATCAAAATCACAAGAATTTTACAACAGAAGGATTAAAATGCTTCCTGAGCATTGGGCACAAGTAGTAGAAAACAACGGCAACTATATTGTTGATTAAATTTTGTTGTATTGTTTAAATAAATTCGATTTTAAAAAGAATTAGAAAACTGCCGGGACCGGTTTGGCTCAGTGGATAGAGCGTCGGCCTGTGGACTGAAAGGTCCCGGGTTCGATTCCAGGCAAGGGCATGTACCTTGGTTGCGGGCACATCCCCAGTAGGGGGTGTGCAAGAGGCAGCTGATTGATGATTCTCTCTCATCGATGTTTCTAACTCTCTATCCTTCTCTCTTCCTCTCTGTGAAAAATCAATAAAATATATTTTTTTTAAAAAGTATTAGAAAACGACATTAATTATTACTAGACCTAATACACTACTTCCCACTTCTTTCCTGAAAATATAGTTGCTAAGTGGAGTAGGATCCCCCAAACGAAAAAAAGCAGTAGAGAAGAAGCAAGATAAGATGCCAAGTACAGGAGTGTGTTTCTAGAATGTTTTAAGAATCAAACAAAATAGTACTGTAATGTGTTTATTACCTAATTAGTCAATGTGGTGACCATTGATCTTACACAGAATTAAAGTAAAAAGGTTTTGGAATCACAAGAGGCCAAGGCCAGGGAGATCTTAAAATTTCAGACAAGCCCTGGATGGTATGGCTCAGTTAGTTGGCATCATCCTGTTAACCAAATGGTTGACAGTTCGATTCTGGTTCAGGGCACATACCTAGGTTTTGAGCTCAATCTCTGGTAAGGGGTGTGCAGGAGGCAGCCAACTGATGTTTCACTCTCACATTGATGTTTCTCTCTCTCTCTCTCTCTCTCTCTCTCTCTCTCTCTCTCTCTCCTCCTCCTCTCTCTCCTCCCTCCCTCCTCTCCCTCCCCCCCAACCATCTCCCTTCTTCTCTAGAAATCAATAAAAAAATCTTTTTGAAAAAATTTCAGACAAGATTTATTTTTTATTATGAGTGATAGCTAGACATGAGGTAAGGGTGGCATATCAATACAGATGCAATGGAGATTTCCATTTAATGCTGTAAGGTAGTCTAGATAATTATAAATGGTAGAGGTAGTCCCAGCACTGAGGGCCACCATGCAGCGATACCCAACTCGTGCACTGCAAAGGGGATACAACAACTTGCTGGGAAAGGGAGCACACAAAAATTCAGTGGACACACTGACTGACAGGGAGCCTATGAATCACCAAGCCAGAACCACCTCCCAAGTTCCCCTAAATCATGACTGTTTACAACCCTGATGGCTTTTTCTTACCTTCGTATATCACTGACAGTAATTTCAGGGATAAACTTCTGAAGGTGCTTCACCGTGGCACTGAGAAAACAGGCTTTATACATCTCACTGACTCCATAGGAGAAATTCTGGGACACCAGTTTAATCAAGCCACTGGAAACAGAAAACAAAGCCTTTGAGAGAAAGGAATCCTTTATTACTATGAAACATCTTTACAACTATTAGACTTGGACAGGGGCATCACAGAAATCTAGGCAAAGTCAGAAAAACCACATATTAAAAAAAAATCAACCTTTGGCCACTAGAAGAAGGAAGCCTCATCAAAGGAAAGAAACCAAAACCAAAAGTAAACACCTTTCACACTTAGATGACCTGAGAATGCTGGTTTCAAACTAGAATTCTGTGGCGTCTGCCAACCAAAAGGCTTTCTGATACAAATGTTACATGCTTTCAAAACATGCTTTTATCTCAGGACATTAAAGAAGTAAGATAGATGTTTACCACTTTTTGTTTGTTGTTTTTATCAGCCAGCGGGAAGATATTCCAGTAATGATTCTCCCATGAGACTTTGTGTAATCTATGTATATATGTATTTTTAAGCACACATGCTAGAAAACCCCATCCCAAACCTGTTTCAGAATCTGTAGAAGGTGAAATTCAAGTACAGCTTAAAAAAGCTTTCTAGCAATTTTTGATGTGAAAACCTCTGGAGAGCAACACTGCTAAAATGAACCTTTCCCCCCAAAACACAAACAACACCTTACTGAGTTCTTACAATAAAGTAAAGATTCTGTGTTTTGGGTCAACACATTGTTAATTTTCCACAGATGGAAACAACTTTGGTTCTCCGAAGGTTCTCCAGTGGTTTTCAAAATGATGGTGACTGGCTTGAAATCACTTTATCAAAGTAAGCCATCTACTGATTTTGAAACTTTTCCCCCGCCCCCAAATGCAACTAGAAGGCTAGCAAAACGAGGTTTGGATTGTCACGTACGTATGTGACTGGGTCTTGGTCTTGTTATTTTTAACCAAGACTTCACCCTGGATCATCAGAATTTCCCTGAGGTACTTAAAGCGTTATTCTTTTTTTTTCTCTCTCTCTCTTTTATTTATTTATTTTTTTAAAATATATTTTGATTTTTTTTTGCCCCCTCCCTCCCTCCCACACATCCCCTCCCTCCCCAGAGTTTTGTGTCCATTGGTTGTACTTATATGCATGTATAAAAGTCCTTCGGTTGATCTATTATCTCCCCCAGATCTTCCTCCCCTCCCCACTGTAATTTGACAGTCTACTTGTTGATATACTGTCTCTATATCTATCTTTTGGTTCATCAGTTTATAATGTTCTTTATTATCCACAAATGAGTGAGGTCATGTGGTGTTTCTCTTTCATTGATTGGCTTATTTCACTCAGCATGATGTTCTCCAATTCCATCCAGGTTGCTGCAAATGATAAGAATTCCTTCTTTTTTATGGCAGCATAGTATTCCATTGTGTAGATGTACCATAGTTTTTTGATCCAGTCATCTGCTGATGGGCACCTAAGCTGTTTCCAAATTCTGACTATTGTAGATTGTGCTGCTATGAACATAGGGGTGCATATATCCTTTCTGATTGGTGTTTCTAGTTTCTTGGGATATATTCCTAGAAGTGGGATTACTGGGTCAAATGGGGGTAAAGCATTATTCTTATTCTTCAAAGCTCTTAATTTAAATCAATAAAAAATCAACATAATAATCACAAATGTGAGATTTTACCCAATAAATAGAATTTTAAGAAAGGCAAAATTTCACATGTTAAAAATATTAACACATACAATCACTTTTTAAAGTAGGTTAGTTACCTCTTGGTAATTACATCCGTAATATCTCTGGCACTGAAGTCAAAGGGTTTGTAGCCTTCTCGTTTAAAGGCAAGAACTGCATTAGGCCCTAGCCAAATGCTGCCATCCATCCTGGGTGTGAAGTGAACTCCTAGGAAAGGAAACCGGCTATCTGGGACCTATGGATTTAACACAGCAAAGAACTGTTAGCCCTGTTCCATACGGCATTTTAGCATGCATGCAAATATTCAATTGGCAATATAAATCACTTTCTTCCCATGCATTTAATTTGTATTATTTTGATCTGTACTGAGATATACTTTTTATTTACACTTTTCTGCCTAGGGATCCCACACAGAAAACACTGATGTTATTGACACTAATATACACTCCCATCTATTCTTCTTTCTAGGTAAGGATAAAAAGAAAAAGAAAAAAAGAACTGTCCTCCTTCAGGTTATTCCCCAGCCTACTCTCCCAACACATCTCCAACTCGGGGTGTATGTGGCTGGCAAGTAAAATCAGAGCTACCAGAAACACTAACACATTCATAGCAAAGGCTTCTGTAAAGTGGGAATGTACTGGGATAGAGCACATGCAATGGATGTTTTGGCAAGGTCAAAAACACTAAATAGGGGAATAAATACTGGCTCAACCTAGTATTTCCATGCAGAATGAACTCTTCATTTAAAGGGCTCTGTCTTCTCCAACATGAACTACAGAGTGGCCACGGCCCCTTTTTCTCACCTATGGGTAGAACTGAGAGAAAGGGCTGGGTATCTGGGCATGCAAAAAGGGCAAGTTCTCTTATGAGTGTTCCCTCCACCAGATAGGAGGGAGAATTGGGTTATTTCTTGCTAGCCCTTCCCATGATGCACTCATGCTTTCTGAAGACATGTACTTGTGGACAATTTAGTATAAGTTAATGACTATAATATCAGAATAAATGTTTGGGAATTTAACCATAAGAGAAAAAGAGAAAAAGTCCTTCAAAATATCTCTTAGTTCTGACCCAGATAAAAGTTTTTGTTTCATTCCCTTTCTGTCCCGTCATCTTGAGAAGGATGAGACTGAAAAAGCATCATACCTACCGGATAAATATTTCCTTTCACAAGGTAGCATTTTTCTGGCTTCAAGAGCAGGTAATCCCCCCGAAATGGTACAATTTGAGGATCAGGACTGCAGCCACTCAGCTCGGAAATACGGTCTGAGTAAAGTCCTGCACACGTCACCACGTACTGACACTGAACTTGCTCTCCCTGGTGTGTAAGAGAAGACGGTGATTTTTAGTGAGCAGAAAAACAGGTGATAGAAGAGACAATAAATAAGTATACAGAAAAGGACATTTTTCTTTTTATTCCTTTTAAAAGAGGAAATTAAATGCAAGTAACAGCAAAACAAATTCTTCAGCATTTAGGTGGCAGCTAGAAACTTAGGCTAGTGGCAAGCAAGAGGATGTCACCTTAAATTTTGTATTTAATGATTCAATGGTTGACATACTTAGTGAGAATACTTAACAAGATACACACAACACAAACACACACACACACACACACACACACACACACACACACACACACATTTTACTAAGACCATAGAACTTCTTAACTATTTGTTGCATGATGAAGCAAACTTCAGTTAGATGTCCCCCTCACCAGTTTGGCTGCCTCTGTATTTCAAACAGCTTCTCCTATCTTATCTATGAGTAATTATATTGATAATTATCAGGTTGCATCACACTATAACGGTAACCCACCACCAACCAATTTCTCCTTCCTGATCAATGTCTACTTTGCAAACGGGGGCTACTTTCAAAACCCCATTCATTCAATCCATATTTACTGAGAACACACACTACAGTCTAGGTTTGCTTTAACAACTAGGAGACAGCTAATCTTAGGCTGTGGTATTTCCCCATAAATTTTATTTATGATAATCACCCACATATTTTTAGATGAACTCCGCTAGGGTTAGCCAATTTACTACCCTATTCCCTAAATAATTTCATTTAACCCCAATTCACCACCACACTCCAATTCCCATCTCTTAACTTCTCACACAGTAAAAACTAGCATCTCCTGGCTCGGGTAATTTGTCTTTAGATTTCCTCCCCAGATGACCTGTTTCTAAAGCCTCAGAGTTCTCATCTGTCTTAATATTCTCTTTCTTTTCAGCTCTTAGTGGTTCAGCCTTAGCCTAACTTTGTATGCATCCTATTTTTGCTCACCTACCGAGGTAAGCCTCTTTCCAAGAGTTATATGCAAGTCACACTTCTGGCAAAAATCAGATGAAACTTCTCTACAGTGAATTCAAATTAGCTAGGCAAAACCATGGTAGTTTTAAGACACTTTAAGTCAAGGGATTATGTTAACAACAACAACAAAACATGACTTCTACATTGGTTAATATCTTTCCTGTTCATCTGGAATGATATAGAAGTACAAGAAAATATTTCATGTGATATGAATCTACCAGTCCTTACTTGAAATGCCAGCAATTCTCTCATAGACATAAAACGTAGATAAGCCACATGACAAATGTAATGATAAGAGAATGTGTAGAATGGTACCAGCATTCTAAGAATTTAACGGTTCTCTTAAAAAAAAAAAAAAAAAACCCCTCAAGGAACAGTTCCAAAGGGAGATATGATTAAAAACTATCACAGGTCTCTGAAATCATTTTATGATATACAATAGATGAAACAATAATTACATTCACACTGATTTCACATCCAAAATGTAAATTAGGTAAACAATGAATGATACAGCATTTGTTAAAATATATATTTCTTTAAAAAATTAAACTATTCACCTCTATTGCTATTTCATAAGTGAAACAGACTTTTCTCCTATATGCAATCTATACATTTTAGTTTCTAAATTCTCCCTTCAAAAGTTCATTTTTTAAAAAATTCTTTTTCTTTTAATCTCATAAAAGCACAGATGTTCAACTTGGCAAATTGACACAAAATTTTAAATTATTATTTAACTATACTAAAGGAATATGTCAAAATGAAAGTCAACAATTTTAGCAATTGTGAGTGAAATATAACCCACTGGTATCCCCTGCTTATCAGCCATCATATGATGCCATACTCTAGTGAAAATAACCTGTAAGGAGGGGCAGAAACAGACTTTTAATAGTTCTTTGAATAGAGACGCTGGTTGCTCTGCCAGCAGATCTGACGGGACTCAAAGTGTCTGGGGCAGAGTCATGTTTTACGGAGACGTTGGAAGGCCCCTGAAGGTGAAATCCAAGCACAGAACTTTACAACTTTGGAGGAGTTATACCATCCTTTGCAGATAATTATCCTCCTTCTGACAAAGTGCTTCTGGCTCTAACTCAACATTTGACCACAGCCCACCAAGCTACCATGTGAACTACCCATTATTAAGAGGGTATTGTCTGACTCACCAAGCCACAAAACTGGGTGTGTGCAGTGGCACTCTGTTATCAAGAGGAAGTCGAGTATACAAGATCAGGGTTGGATAGGTCCTGCAGGCATAAATAAGTCGCAAAGGCAAGTGGCTCAAATACTCATGATTCCTACTCCTACTAAATTACCTCCTCCTGCCCTGGCCGGTGTGCTCAGTGGTTAGAACATCGGCCCATGCATTGAAGGGTTATGGGTCCGACTCCCAGTCAAGGGCATGTACCTGGGTTGCAGGTTAGATCCCTGGCTCTGGTCAGAGCATGTGTGCAGGAGGCAACCAATTGATGTGTCTCTCACATCTGTTTCTCTCTCTCCCCCTCTCTCTAAAAATCAATGGGAAAAAAATATCCTTGAGTGAGAATTAACAAAAAAATTACCTCCTTCCTCTCAACTTGCCTGTGTGCCCCCATACCAAATTCTCTACACTCAGCCAAAGAAGGAAAAACAGAGGCCTGGTTTACAAATGGTTCTGCACACCATCCTGGCACCACTAAAAAGTAAACAGTGGCAGCACCAGAGCCCCACCTGAGAGTGGCTCAAAGGCCTGCGGAAATGCTCCCAGCAGGTAGCACCTTGAACACTGTACTGGTTGTTTCTCTCTCTCAGGAGAGATGGCTAGAGGTGGGCATCTATACAGTTGCACGTGCAATGACTAACGGTTAGGCTGGCTGGTCAGGAAAAGGAGCTCTGGAGAAGAGGCATGTGTGAAGGGACCTCTCCAAAAAGGCTCGGAGGATAAAGGTGTTTAAGTTCCATATGGATGCTCACTGAAGAGTAACTGGGGCAGAGAAAGATTTTAATAATCATAGACAAGGTGACCTGCTCTGTGGACATTGGTTAGCCTCTTTCCCCAGCCACCTCTGTCCTTACCCAATGACTTCACAAACTAAATGATATGGCAGTAAGGATAGAGGCGATGTGTGGGGTCAGCAACATGGACTTACTAAGGCTGATGTGTCGATAGCCACTCAATCTGCTGTTGGGAGAATGCTCAATCTCCCAATTCAAATAAAGGGAAGGGGGGCAGCACTTAGTCCTCACTGATATAGATTTGTCTTCCCTGCCCACAGTGTTTCTGTTGAAACCACCATCTGTGAACTTAGTCAATTTTATGGTATTTTACCCAGAAGCATTACTTCTGATCAGTGAGCTTATTTTACAGTAAATGAAATATAATGATAAGCTCATGCTTGTGGAATTCACTGATGTTATCATTTCCCCCAGCATCCTGAAGCTGCTGGGTGACAAAGTGGAAAGGACTTTTGAAGATTCAGTAACAGCAGTAGCTGACTAGCAATGCCCTGCAGGGCTGGGGCAAGGTCTTCCGGCTGCACTATATGCCCTATATCAGTGACTACTATATGGTATGTTTCTCCCATAGTCAGGAACCACAGGTCAGAAAATCAAGAGATAGAAATGGGAGTAGCACCTTACAATAATCCACTAGTTTCTGCTTCTAATCCCAATTTCTGCTTCCTCGCCCCACAACTGTGGGCTCTAATGGCAGGGAGAAATGCTTCTATTAGAGAATAAGCAATGGTTCCATTACGCTAGAAGTTAATACTGTCACACCTGGCCACTTTGAGTTCCTCGTGACAGTGAATCAAAAGGCAGAGGAGATTACTATACTGAATGGGGTAATTTTTAAAAATATATATATTTTTTATTGATTTCAGAGAGGAAGGGAGATGGAGAGAAAGATAGAAACACATCACTGACAAGAGAGAATTATTGTTCAGCTTGCCTCCTGAATGCCCCCTACTGGGATTCGAGCTCACAACCCAGGCAAGTGCCCTGACCAGAAATCACACCACCTGGGACTGAATGGGGTAACTGAAAGAGAGTTGCTACCACACTGAGAGCTTGGGAATGATACAGAGGAGAATGTGTGGGCTATAGATCTCCTGGGCTATCTCATGGTAACCCCACTCATTGCTATAAAAGTTGATGAAAACCACTATAACATAAAACAGGCAGGGCTGCTAATGGCAGAGACACTTCAGGATTAAAAGTTTGAGTTTTCCTGCCAAACTAGGAACCATGACCAGCTGAGAGGCTTGCCAAGGGCCAAGAGACTATGGAATAGATAGTGGAAGAAGGAAATTATAAATATGACCACATGATTAGTGACATAAATGAGGAATATAGTTATGAGAAATGTAGTAGTTATTTCTTTCTTACTGTGAAGTATATAATTAACCAATTCTTTCTTCTTCCTCGTTGTTATAAAATGTCCCCCTTTCCCCCAAATTCATATGTTGAAGCCTCAACTCCCCATTTGACTATGCTTAGAGAGAGAGCCTTAGGAAGATCATTAAGGTTAAATGAGGTCATAGGAGTGAAGCCCTAATCTGACAGGACTGGTGTTCTTATAAGAGAAAGACACACAAAAAATAGTGTGTGCTCACATTTTCATATTCTCTCTCTCCCTCTTTCTGTCACTATAGCAGCACTGTCACTATATCAGCATGCCCAGAGGAGACCAAGTGAGGTCACAGTGAGAAGGCAGCCATCTATAAGCTGAGAAAGGTCTTACTAGAAACCAGTCCTGATGGCACCTTGATCTTAGACTGTGAGCCTCCAGAACTGTGACAAAATAAATTTCTGTTATTTAAGCTTGTGGTATTCTGTTATGGTAATAAGCATGTCTTCATTTGTATAAAAGATAGTTGAGCCTTGTAGGTAGAAGCATGATTTTATTACTGTCTGTATCTGGAAAGTAATGTGGTTATAAGGGGTGTGAATGGATGGCAAATTGAAAAGGGATGGACTGTGGGCGGTTATACTGTGTCAATTTGGTTCAACTTGACACAATCCCCTCCCTATATGGTTCCATCTGAAAGTTGACCAACACATGAATTAAATGTGATTTGACAGATAGAAGTAAAGCAGCAAGCCACTATTCATTGAAGGTCACTCTAGGCCAAGGTAGTGATAAACAATCACTACCAAGTGAATTATCGCTCCACACCCAGCTCTGCTTCCCACATACTGATCCTGCTGACTAAGTGTTGTAGACAAGAGCTCCCCCAGATCTCCTCCTGAGCTGCTCATTTTCGGTTCTACTTCAGCAGGTGGATACACTTTGGCTTCTCAAACTGGCTGGATACGCCTCTAATCTACCAATTCCCCTTCTGAACCTTGGCTTCCCAGCTGGTTTCACAATGTGTCAGATCTAATTCCTACCATAAATCCGACTACGCTCATTATGGACTCTGCTTTCCTGACTGAACTCTGATCATTCAGAAACAACACAGTGAATGCAATACTTCTATCCATCAAATAGTTCTTGTTTTAGATTATGGGAAGAGGAAGGAAGGCAGTCTATCTCCCTCTGTACAATCTACACCCTGCTCCAAGTCTTCTCATTAGTAGAGTATTGGTAAGATAAATAAGCAGGTAGAACAATAAAATATCAATCAGTTTTGCCTTAAAATTAAATACTCCAAGTACTTAAAATCATATTCTTTGCTGCCACTGTCACTATATGAATACATTTCAAGATGAAACCCTTCTTAGAATGAAAACTGTTATATTATTCTCAAAGAATTTCTTTCAGAATAACCTTACATTACACAAATTTTATTCAATGACAAAATACAGCACGGTGGTTAATTCAACTTTTTAAGAAAGAAGAGGGCCGAGACGGGTTTGGCTCAATGGATAGAGCGTCGGCTTGGGGACTGAAGGGACCCGGGTTCAATTCCGGCCAAGGGCATGTACCTTGGTTGCGGGCATGTCCCCAGTAGGAGGTGTGCAAGAGGCAGCTGATCGATGACTCTCTCTCATCGATGTTTCTAGCTCTCTATCTCTCTCCCTTCCTCTCTGTACAAAATCAATAAAATATACTTAAAAATAAAAATAAAAAGAATAGAATATTATTTAAAAAAAAAAGAAAGAAAGAAAGAAAGAAAGAAAGAAAGAAAGAAAGAAAGAAAGAAAGAAAGAAAGAAAGAAAGAAAGAGGGTCCTGGACAGTGTAGCACAGTTGCTTGAACATCATCTCATACACCAGAAGGTAGCAGGTTCAATTCCCAGTCAATTCATATACCTGGATTTGGGTTCAATCCCTGGTCCCAGTGAGTGTCGGAGACAACCAATCGATATCTTTCTCTCTCTCTTACTCTCTTTAAAATCAATAAAATAAAATATTTTTTTTTTAAAGGAGAAGGAATGAAAGTAGATAAAATAGGGGAAAGTAGTTTTGCTTAAGAATCTTTACCTTTGTATTCCTTATAACAATTGGATATTTCATCCCTAAAAAAAAGGAAAAAGGAATTGGTGAAAGATTTATTTTTAGTAAAAGAAGGCCTACAGGTTTTGAAACATAATAGTAACAAATTTAAATAAGTTTCTTGTCACAACCATGATTACTCTCCACATTTCATCCTGAAGCTTTTACCAAGTAATAAGATTAAACTAATTCATATTTGACAATATATAAAACTCTGGCATGGCCCTAACCAGTTTAGTTCAGTGGATAGAGCGAGGGTCCCAGGTTTGATTCCAGTCAAGGGCATATACTGTGGTTGTGGACACATCCCCAGTATGGGGTGTGCAAGAGGCAGCTGATCAATGTTTCTCTCTCACTGATATTTCTAACTCTCTATCCCTCTTCCTTCAACTCTGTAAAAATCAATAAAATATATTTTTAAAAAACTCTGGCATGTTTAGATTATTTTATATGAATTCATTTCATCTCTGCTTATCAACCTCCCTCCACTTCATGACTAGCATAGGCAGTCCCAGCTTTTTTTCTCTGGCCTACAAATCTAACCAACATGCTATAAAATGCATCATCATAAATCAGTATGTATTTCCCACTGGACTAATGTTATGACACTTGTTGTCCAAATGTTGGTTACTGGATCTCTTAGATTCTAGGTTGTAAAAAGAAGCAAAAGTTTTTAAAGCACAAAAAATTTTCTAATAATAAAGTATTTATAAAATTAGTTTATATCAGATACAAGGGATTTCGAAGTCTTATAACACATAAGTGCAACAGTTAAAGAATATGATCTACTTTTATCTTGAATACATTTGATTATGCTCCCTACCTATAACAATCTTAATTATTTAAGAATTTTGCTCATCATCTTAGAATTTAGTAGGACACTGGGAGGATGATTCATATGGCCCATATCTCCAAAAAGAAAAACCTGTCAAGGAAGAATAAACCCAGCACTACATTTCCCCTCAAATTTCCCCAAAGCAAATTCAAAATTTACAAACCGATTCATTTAGGTGGTTTTTTTTTAATCCCCAAAGCAGGTAGTTCGGAATGGCTAAGACATGTCTTATCCACAGACAATCTGCTTCAGTAAGACTGGGTGATGCTAAAGTCTCCAATTTTAACAAACATCCCCAGGGATTCTGACTCTAACCTACAAGCTAAGGAAGGATTTGAAGGCTAATCTACAATAATAAAAGTGTAATATACTAATTAGACTAGACAGCCGAATGACTTTCTGACGAAGCTGGGGCTGGGGCAGAGGCAGGCCGCCACAGCTGCAAGAGCTAAAGCCCTCGCACGAATTTCATGCATTTAGTCTATACACAAAATCCTAAGCAACTGGTACAGCCAAATGACCAGAACAACTGGTTGACTAGTCGCTATGATGCACACTGACCACCGAAGGCAGATGCTCAATGCAGGAGCTGCCCCCTTGTGTCAATGCGCTCCCACAGCCAACCTCCTGCGGCTGGTCAACCTCCCACAGCCCCTACCGCCCCTACCCCTGGCCCTGATCAGTCCAATTGCCTGCCAGCCAGGCCGAAGGACCCCACCTGTGCACGAATTTGTGCACCAGAACTCCAGTTCTTTACAAACAGCCTTGGCAACTCAGGTTGTAACATCAGTCAGAAGTGTCCGATCAATGCCTAGTTCTATCAACATGAGACTCAATGAAGCCCCAGTTTTCCCACATCCAATATCACCTTCTGTACCTGCCTCCAGCTCCATGCCCTAACTCTAGCCCAGCTCCTGATGGACCTCCCCAAGTACTATCTCAGCCAAAAGCAGTCCCACATTTGTTTAGAAGTCAATACAAGTATTCAAAGAAAAGACAAGGACGGCTTACCATCTTCACTTCTTGAAGGACTTTCTCTAGCCATTTCAATATCTTTTACTTCAAAATTGGTCAAGACAGAGCCACCTGCATCTTGGAAATCCTGGGCAAATGACAAAGCCACCTGACGATAGTCCACAATGCCAGTATATGGGCAATCAATAGCCATTAGACCCTGGGATAGAATTATGAAAAAGTGAAGGCAATACAATTAAAAATCATCAAGAACAGTTTGTTGAATAAATTTTATTTTGTGCTGAAATTTTTTACTGGTTATTTTGATGGGTAACACACATTAGCTTTCTTAAGGGGGAAAAAACAAAACCCTGATAACTTGTAAGAAAAATAAAATAAAAGCTTGCTTCATAGTGCCTGAATTTGAACTTGAGTATACAGGGTGGGGCAAAAGTAGGTTTATAGTTGCTCATATGAAAATGATACGATAATTAAAAATATATACAGAACGAACTGTGTTTCATGTACTCACAGCTGTAAACCTACTTTTGCCTCACCCTGTATGTATATACTAGAGGCCCAGTGCACAAAATTCATGCACGGGTGTCCCTCAGCCAAGCCTGCACCCTTTCACAATCTAGGATCCCTCAGGGGATGTCCAACTGTTGGTTTAGGCTCCATCTCTGCAGGCCAGTCAGACATCCCCCGAGGGATATAGCAGTGTCCCAAGTGACAGGCAGCTAGGAAGAAGCCAGAACTGGGGCCTGCTGCCACGCCACTTATACTCATCCTGGCCTGCTGTGCCCACTGCTGCCACTCAGTAGTACTGCCACGGAGTTGGGAGAGGCTCCCGCCACCACAGCTATGCTCACCAGCTGTGCGCCCGGCTTCTGGCTGAGTGGCACGCCAAGGTTGCACTGACCATCAGGGGGCAGCTCCTGCATTGAGCATCTGCTCCCTGGTGGTCAGTGCACATCACAGCAACTGGTCAATCAGTCATTCTGGTCATTCTGTCACGATGGTCACTTAGGCTTTTATATATATACTAGAGGCCTGGTGCACGAAATTCAGGATACCCCTCCCCCGCAGCCTGCACCCTCTCCAATCTGGGACATCCCTCTCACAATCCAGAACTGCTGGCTCCCAACTGCTCACCTGCCTGCCTTCCTGATTGCCCCTAACTGCTTCTGTCTGCCAGCCTGATCACCCCCTAACCACTCCCCTTCCAGCCTCATTGATGCCTAACTGCTCCCTTGCCAGCCTGTTTGCCTCTAACTTCCCTCCCCTGTAGGCCTGGGTCCCCCGCAACTGCCCTTCCCTGAAGGCTCAGTTGCCCCCAAATTTCCTCCTTTGCCAGCCTGATCCCTCCCAACTGCCATCCCCTGCTGGCCATCTTGTGGTGGCCATCTTGTGTCCACATAGGGGCAGCCATCTTTGACCACATGGGAGCAGCCATCTTGTGTGTTGGAGTGATGGTCAGTTTGCATATTACTCCTTTATTACATAGGATACACACACACACACACACACACACACACACACACACTATGTCCTGATATAAGAAGTAATGCTAACTAAATAAGAACATTTCTATAATCAGAAAATAATTCTCCTTAAAGGAGTTCATTTTGCTAGGCTCTTCCAACTGCTACAATGAGTTTTTCTGTTTTATTCATCCCTCACCCTAATTCATATCTGAGTTGAATTCTGTATCGCTAAACGATTGTTTTTTTTAATTTAATTTTTTCCATCATCATTTATCCCCTCTAGGCTCTCTCCCACCTCCTCTCCCCACTGTTGTCCATATCTATGAGTTCTCTTTTTTTCCCTCAACCCCTCTCCCACCCTGCCCCCTTACACACACCAGAGCTGGCTGCTGGCTCTCTATGAGTCTGTCTCTATTTTGCTTGGTAGTCAGTTCAGTTTGTTCATTAAATTCCACATATGAGTAAAGTCATATGGTACTTGTCTTTCAATTACTGGCTTATTTCACTTATCATAATGTTCTCCAATTAAAGTTTTAAATAAACTCCACTGAGATTTTCTCAGTAGTGGATCATATGTCATACACACTCAGTGAGAACTTGGTATTGTTCATATGTTTGCAGAGCATTGATTTGATTTGCTGCAGACTCTATTTTCAAGACTGCAAATACTGAATGAAGATCACATATGGTTAATTCAAACTTTATCTTCAGGTAATATGAGAAATTAACAGCCTGGGTTGTTCTTCTGGTGGTGGTGGTGGTGGTGGTGGTGGTGGTGTGTGTATGTATGTTTTGCCAAGATATGTTCAAACTCTATAGATAAATTATTTACAAGCATTACTTATTCAATGTTTTGGAATAAATGTATCCTTTTCTAATTCTGAAGAAAAGGATAAAAGTAGAATTTCACACACTAAGTATGGACTACACTTTGAGGAATCCTTAGTAACAGCACCATTTTATCTTGCCTTAATGTGTATGAGAATATTAGTTTTCTCTATCAATCTTCCCAAAGAGGATTGCCTGGTTCCCAGGATAACTAAGACCCAGAAGCTGAGTATGACAGGTAAATGCTGCTGTCTTCTTGTTTGGCCAGCACAGCATTTCACTGTTGTGGTTTTATAATATTTGATATTATCCTTTCTAATAAAGAGGGAATATGCTAATTGAGCCTCACACTGCCACAAATATGGTGGCACCATAGCCAATGAGGAGGAAATATGCGAATTGACTGCCCTGCCCTCAAAGATGGCAGTGCCCACAGCTACAAGATGGCGGCGCCCAGTCCCCTTAGCCCCACCAGGTGGCAGGAGCTTGGCAAGGCCGGGCCCACCCACAGGCAGGCGCAGCTGCTCCATGTGCCTATCTCTGGAATTTCCCAGTCTCCTCAGCCCCCCAGCCGCCCAGGGCTGGCCCAAGGTGCAGGCAAGCCTCAGATGGCAGCTGCCCAGCCACCCAGGACTGCCTGAGGCTCAGGTAACCAAGGCTGCAGTGCCGGCAGTGGCAGCAGCAAAGGTGTGATGGGGCGTCACCTTCCCCTAATTGCCGGGTTGCCTCCCATCCCTAAGGGCTCTCAGACGATGAGAGGGGACAGGCTTGGCTGAGGGATCCCCCTCCAGTGCATGAATTTTAGTTTAAAATATTTTGTTATTGTATTCAGTGCCCCACCCCAATACATTTACCTGCTTATCTGCTGAGAACAAATTCCAGCATGTAATAATTTCAAGAGTTTTGCCAAAAGGTTGGTGAACCTTGGAGAGCTCAACAGGGTTGAGTGAAATGTAGTTTACCTGTTGGAAACGGCTAAAGGGCACTTCCCCCAAACCTGAATAGGATTGTTACTGCCAGACAGCTCAGAGCATTTTACTGCCTCCTGTTGGCCAAACACCTGAACAGCTGTAGGCTATTCCCCAAACTGATAATGCTTCAGTACAAATCCTTTGATATTGTACCCTTTGAAGTATATATTTCCACCTTGCCTTAGGATAAATCCAAGTCTTTGGTCAAGGGAGAGTCTTCAGTTCCTTTTAGCTTCTTCTGACCCCAATGCCTTTTAAAAATACATTTTGTCTTTGGACTCCTTTTCAATCATCTACGTGCAGCCCCTTTCTCCAGAATGCTGAACCCTTTGTAAGGCTGGGAAAAGAACCCCAGCACTTATCCTTCAAAGCTTTTGACTTTGCCACCTACCCCTGACCAATGTTGCCATGTGCCCAGATCATACTAAAGGCTCACAAAACACCCAATAGTCTCTTTTCACGAACTGAAAGCAACATTTGAAAAACTTCACCATTTTCCTGATGTCTGCTTCCAGAATATGAGAGCATTTGCCCAAGTACAGGAAATCATCCCTTTTGTTTTGATAGAGTAGATACACTCAGATTTTATATTTGACTTTATATGGCCTGACAATCCCTAAATTCATCAGTCAATAGCTATAATTCAATTTCAACCTATAAATAATATTTTGGATACAATAATCTTAAAATCTAAATTAGGATAATACCAAGAGTTTAGTCACAAAAACTTCCTTACCTAGCATAAAACTCTGTGACAAGTATAACAGTGGGATAAAAGTGTGCTGTAAAAATGCTCCATATCAAAAGATTTTTGGAATTCCAAATATCTTCATTCATCTTATATTCCTATTACCTAGTACAATGCCTGACACACAGAAGGCACTCAAACATTTACTCAATGGATGAACTTTTGAAGGTTGCTATCTTTAAACATACCAGATAGTTACCCTTTCTAGACATTCTCTAAAAGATCTCCTTTCTTTTCTTTCCCTTTCTATTGTAGTTTTGGCCTTGGCCTTGCCCCTCCTCATGAGATGCTGGTGGGCCCTACCTATATGTGTACGTTGGGGGAAGGTGGAGTGAGTCACGGCTGCCAACCAATCCAGTGCCCTGGCCCAGGATGGGGGTTGGACAGGCTAGCAGTCTGCCAGGAGCTGGGCATGCACTGTCCAGGTTAGCAAGTCAGAACTTGAAATCTTAGGCCACCGCAGGCCAGATGGCTAGAAAAGAACCAGGCAAGCAAAACAGGGAACACTAGGAGGTAGAAGTCAGGAGGAACAGATGACCATGTGGTTGACCAACTAAAGAAAAGGCAGATGGATCTGCACAGCTAAGGTCAGACGCAGCAGTCAGGATCTGCCCAGATGAGAGCTGTTAAGAGCTATCCTCCAAAGTCAAAGTTCATAGAGCCAGTTTAAAATTTTCCAAAATGCCCCCACTAAGAGTACTTAAATCTTTTGCTGAAAGGAATCTGCTCTAAGAAGCCCTTTAGAGCTGCCCTAATATACTTTTCCTTTTGGAGGTCCTAGAAGAAACAGAAGTAACCTTGTATTATGCAAATTTTGCCCATCATTGCTGGCAGCAGTGGTGGGGTTGGGAGAGAAAGGAGGAATTTACTCATGACACCTTTATGAAATAACCAGACTATATTTTCTACTATACTACTACTGCTATATTGCCACCCTAAATAGGCATTGGAAATTACAATGTGGCATTATATAAAGCAGATCACTTCTGCAGAGGCCTCAGAGAAAAGCAGAGCATACCTCTTTCACACGTCACACTATTTAGTCATCTTTCAAGTGCCGGTTTGCCTAAACTCTCTGACTAAACTAAAAGCTTCTGATAAGCATTGTCTGGCAATGAGTTAGAAGCCAGACTCTTTAACACAGGTACCTGGAGTCCAGTTCTTTTTCTTTTTAGTGCTTTTGTTGATTTCAGAGAGAGGAAGGGAGAAGGAGAGAAGACAGAAACATTGATGAGTGAGAACCATTGTTTGGCTGCCTCCTCCATGGCCCCCACTGGGGATAGAGCCTGCAACAAAGGCATGTGCTCTAACCAGGAACCAAACTGTGACATCCCCAACCACTGAGCCACACCAGCAGGCTGGAGTCCAGCTCCTGCACATTGTCCATAAAAGGGTAGGGGAGAAGGAACAGGAGATACAGCCATTCACTGGAACAGCCAGTGGAACTAGGGGGTTGAAGTGACAGTGTCTTAAAGGCTATCAAAGAAAACTGTTATGCAGAGAATTATTATTCATGTCTCTCTCATGAATAAAAGAAAGGTTTTTCCCCTATAGCTTGTTTTGAAGCAAGATACCCTACAACCTACCCTTCACACTCATGCCACCCTTATCTTCCTGAAATACAGCCACTCTCCTCAAAAATTTTCAGTGGCTTCTGTACCTACTATATCAACTTCAAAGTTATCAGCATGAATATCAGGCCCTTTAGGTGGGCCTAATCCTGCCTTTCTAGTCTTACTTTTTGTATTTTCCTACACACCCTGTGATCCAACCACACCTCATCACTCAGTGCTTTCCAAACATGTCATATGGTTTCAGACCTTCTCTTGCATTTGCTTATGTCCTTCAGACCTGGTATTTTTTCATTGGTGTGAGTGAGAAGAGGGGTCCTATGGGAAGTAACCTCACAGGGTGATCTGATCATAAATCCCTAACTCAACCAGTCATGGTAGGTACTCATGTCCCAGGCATATAACCTCTTTAGTACAAAATTTATCTTTGCAACCTGGCTGGTGTGGCTCAGTTGGTCTGAGCATTGTCTCATGCAAAAAAAAGGTCGCTGGTTTGAATCTTGGTCAGGGCACATACCCAAGTTGTGGGTGTGATCCCAGGTCAGGGTGTGTATAAGGCAACTGATCCATTTTTCTCTCTCTCCCTCTCCCTTCCTCTTTCTCAAATCAATAAAAAAAAAAAAAAACACTATTTTTAAAGAGATTTATATTTGCCTTAAGCAAGCCTAGTCCATTGTGTGTGTGCAATTAGGTTAACACACCATAGAAATAAACTGTAACCACCCTCAAGAGAGCACATAATCTTGTTAACTATTCTAATCCCTGCCTTGCTTTCTCTCACCATCCCATAAACTTCCCTCTTTAATTTCAAATGCATAAAAGAAGCTGCAAAACTTATTCTCCAGAGCACCTGAGATCTTGCTCCCTGGCAAATGTCATCAGTTTGGCGCAAATAAGCTTACAAAAATTCTCTACAGCAAGCATGTCAAACTGGTGGCCCATTTATGTAAATGAGGCTTGCAGCCCGCTGGCCGCAAGTTTGACATGCTTGCTCTACAGGTTTGGATGTTTCTTATAATGACTTAGGGAAAGAAGAAATCAAGTGTCCAGAGTTTGTGGCAAAGCCCTCTTGTGTTTGTTACCCCACTGCTTTCGTGACAGGATTATTTGTTTCTATATAATTCCTTCCTCCTATAAATTCACTTTCAGCCTCTATGTGCACAAATCCGAGCCCTAAATGCAAATGTCCCTGTGAGTATGTGTGTGGAGTTAGTGAATCACTTACCCTACAATATGGCTCCTTCTTTTTTATATCCTCCTGCTGGATCAGCTTCAGGCCCTGGACACCATTCTGCAGGCCTCTCTCATACAGGGCCTGAAGTCTGGGAATTTCTTCTTGTTCTACAGCTACTATAAGCTTAAAAAAAATGATAATGTAAATAGAGTTAAACAAATCATCAGCTATGAAAGATAAAGTGACTAGAAAAATCATAAATTGTTACATGACAAATTGGATTGATCTTTTAAAATTGCTTTTTCTTCATGTCTCTACTTCAACATTCCTTCATGACATCATTTTCCTCCTCCACTGGAAAAAGTTCTCTTTAGAAAATTGCATGAGCCCAGCCAGCGTGGCTCAGTGGTTCAGTGTCAATCTATTGATATAAACCAGGAGGTCACAGTTCGATTCCTGGTCAGGGCACATACCCGAGTTGCAGGCTCAATCCCCAGTGGGGGGCATGCAAGAGGCAACGGATCAATGATTCTTTCTCATTATTGATGTTTCTATTTCTCTTTCCTACTTCCTCACCCTCTGAAATCAGTAAAAATATATTTTTTAAAAAAAGTGCATGAAGAATTTTCCTCAAAGTTGAGATGTAATCTCAATTTCCACATCTTGGCCATAATCAATTGTTATCACCTTCACTCCCTCAGTCCCAGAAGGGAGAGAAGCACTCAATTACTTAATCTTTACATTAAAAAACAAACAAAATTTTAAAAATCAGCAACAACAAAACAGAATGGCCTTCTTTTTTCTATAAGAGAATGTAAAATACCAGTTCATCAAGAAAACATTTGGTGCCAAGACCGGTTTGGCTCAATGGATAGAGCATCGGCTTGGGGACTGAAGGGTCCCGGGTTCTATTCTGGTCAAGGGCATGTACCTTGGTTGCGGGCATATCCCCAGTAGGGGGTGTGCAAGAGGCAGCTGATCAATGACTCTCTCTCATCGATGTTTCTAGCTCTCTATCTCTCTCCCTTCTTCTCTGTATAAAATCAATAAAATATATTAAAAAAAAAAAAAAAGAAAACATTTGGTATTCAGTATAATGGGATATCATAAACATAAAACTATCCATTTTATTTCCTATAATAAAGTATATTACAAAGTATTTACTAATGCATCCCATTGCAAAGAAAAAAATAGGTAAATTTATCAACTTTACTCAAGACTCTTTTTCTATTTATTTTTGGGCAAAGTTTCTTCTTAAAATAGTTTCTTCCTTAACAGCTCACAGCAAGGAAGGCACAGATGTATATTCCCAGGTAAATAAGAATTTACAAATTATTATTTCATAGCAATGAGTCAACATTTAATAGAGATAATATTCTTAATCAAGGTGTAAAGGTTATTTAAATCAACAAATAACTAACCTTAAGAACAAAAGTGGAGTCAAAGGACTCTATCCAGAAAATGAAAAGACAAAGCACTGAATGGGAGAAAATATTTGCAAATCATATAGGTGATAAGGGACTAGTATCCAGAGTACTATATAAAGAACTCTTATATCTCAACCATAAAAACTATAAACACAGTTTTACATATTTTTTAACTTCATACTATTGTATGTCGGGACCATTTCCCCATATAATTTTTTTAAATCTTCATAGCATTTTTAATGGTAACAATGAACTTTTATTTTTAAAAATTACATGAAAAAGACTTACAAGGGAATATTACGAATAATTTATGCCAACAAATTAGATAATCTACATTAAGTGGACAAATTCATAGGAAGACACAAGCTTCTGAAACTGATTCAAGAAGAAAATCTGAATAGACCTATAACATGCAAAGAGATTGAATTAATAACTTAAAAACTTCCCACAAAGATCAGGCCCAGGAACTATACTCATGAGTGCTACCACATGTTTTAAAGATTTAATACCAATTCTTCACAAACTCTTCCAACAAAACAAAAAGGAACACTTCCTAACTAATTCAGTGAGGCCAGTATTAGCCAGATACCCAAGCCAGACAAAGATTAAAAAAACAAACAAAACAAAACAAAAACCAAGACTGCAGACAAACATCTCTTGTGAATATTGATATGAGTCCTGACTAGTAAACTGATGCAGCAACATACAGAAAGGATTATATACCCTGACCAAGTGAAATTTACTGCAGGAATGAAAGATCAACTTAACATCCAAAAGTCAATTAATGTAATATATTAATAGAATAAAAGACAAAAACTACATGATTGCTTCAACAGAAGCAGAAAAAGCATTTGAGAAAATCCAACACCCTTTTATGATTAAAACAACAACACAACTCTCAATGAACTAGAAATAGAAAGGAAGTTCCTCAATCTGATAAAGGGCATCTACAAAAAACCCACAACTAGCATCATACTTAATAGTGAAAAGTTAAATGCTTTCTTCTTAAGATCAGGAAATCACAAGGTTGTCCACTTTCATTGCTTTCACTTTTCAACATTGCATTAGAGATTTTACACAAGGAAATTAGGCAAGAAAAAGTATAAAAAGTATCCAAATTGAAAAAGAAGTTAAACTATTTTATTTTCAGATGGTATGATCCTACATATAGAAAATTCTAAGGAATCCACATACCAAAAGAACAAATACCTATTAAACTAATACCAAGGAATAAATTTAACAAAAGAAATGCAAGACCTGCACAATGAAAAATATGTAACTGTTGAAAGAAATATCTAGTTAATGAAAAGACATCTCATGTTCATAAGATTTAATATTGTTAAGATGGCAATACTCTCCAAATTGATCTATAGATTCAATATAATATCTATCAAAATCCCAGCTGCCTTTTTAGAATTACGGACAAACTGACTCTGAAATTCATATGAAAATGCAAGGCACCCATAAACAGCCAAACAATATGTTTTTTAAAAATGTGTTGCTTTTTTAGTTTTAAAATTTATTTCAGAGAGGAAGAGAGAGAGAAACATTGATGAGAGAGAACATCGATCGGCTGCCTCCAGCATGTCCCATACTGAAGATCAAGCTTGCAACCCTGGGCAGTGCCTTGACCAGGAGACGAACCAGTGAACTCCTTGTGCATAGGACAGATGCTCAACCAACTCTGAGCAACAGTTAGCCAAAACAATCTTGAAAAAAGAAGAACAAAGTTGAAGGACTCACACTCCCTGATTACAAAATAAAGAGTTAGGGTAATCAAAATAGTGTGATAGGATATAAAGATAGGCATATATCAATGGAATAGAATTGAGAATCCTAAACATACCCTCTGACATTTATGCATAAGTGAGTTGTGATACAGACAAAAAGCAATGTAGAAAAAATAGTCTTTTCAACAAATGGTGGTAAACAACTGGATCGACACATACAAGACAATAAAGCTGGACCCCTTCCTCACACAGTATACCACAATTAATTAAAAAGTGGCCCTGGTCAGTATGGTTCAGTTGGTTGGACATCATTCAGTGTACAAGAGATTGCTGATTCCTGGTCAGAGCACATGCCTGTGTAGTGGGCTCGATCCCCAGCAGGGGGTGTGCAGAAGGCAACCATCAGATGCTCTGCTATCACATCAATGCTCCTCTTTCCCCCTTCCTCTTTCTAGAGCTAGGGTGTCGAACTCAATCAGAGAAGGGGCCAAAATCTAAAATCCAGCCTAAATCGCGGGCCGAATGGTTTACTGAACAGTCATAAACTGTCATTGTGATGGAAACGCAGCGGAGTGTAGTGATGACAGCGCGGTGCGGGCCACATTGCAAGGCCTGGCGGGACGGATTTGGCCCGCGGGCCTTGTGTTTGACACATGTGTTCTAGAGTGAGGCAGGAATCTTCTGTTGGCAGGGTCTGTGGAAAGGGCGGCCAGCTGGCTGTGAAGGTGTTAATAAGTCCTTGAAGCAACCCAAGAAGCAGGCCAAGAAAATGGGTGAAGATGGTAAGGTATTCAAGCAGAAACAGAAAGAGGGGCAGAAGAAACTCAAGGAGCTAAAAGTGAAGGCTATGGGAAAGAAATACCATACCCGGGGAGATCCCACATTTGGAATTAAGAATTCTGGCAAAAAAAATAAGCTGTTCCTTGTACCTGGGTCAATGGTGATCCTTAATTCCATTTCTGTTTCAACATCTGGATTCTCTGCCATAACATGTGTTACCACTTATAGCTAGAATGAAATGTTGCACTGAAGCCTACATTTAATAATAAACTTTTGTTAAAAAAAAAAAATCGTTCTGTAGTTCCTCTTCTCTTTAGTTCTCAGCCATTCCTACCTCAGCTGGGAAGTCAGAGCAAACCCAGCCTAAAATTCTGCCGAAGTATACTCTACGGTATTTGTTCTATCCCAAATTCTTTAGCACCTGGAATTAAACCAATTCATCTGGGGGAAAAGGAAAGTGATGATAGACCCAAAGGTGAGAGCTAAGGTTATAACAAAACTCTTCAAAGAAAACATGGGAGTAATGTCCAGCCAGTGTGGCTCAGAGGTTGAGTGTCAACTCAGGAACCAAGAGGTCATCAGTTCGATTCCCAGTCAAGGCAATGCCCAGGTTGCGGGCTTGATCCCCAGTAGGGGTGTGTGGGCAGCAGCCGATCAATGTTCCTATCTCATAGATGTTTCTATCTCTCTGTCCCTCTCCCGTCTCTCTCTAAAGTCAATAAAAACATATTTTTAAAAAAACATAGGAGTAATTTTTCATGACCTAAGAATAGGTGACAATTTCTTGGGTATGACACTAAACATACAAACAACAAAAGAAAAAGATAACCTGGACTTCATAAAAATTAAAACTTATGTACTTCAAAGGATACCTTCAAGAAAGTAAAAATCTACAGAATGGGAGAAAAACTTTAGTAATATTTTTTAAATTACTGTTACCATTACTATTATTTTATATTAAAAATAAAAATATCTTAATGTTTTAGCAGTATTTTAGTAAATATCTTGTGGCTAATAAGGGACTGTATCCAGAATATATGAAGGACACTTACAACTCAACAATGAGAAGACAACCCAATTTAAAAAGCAAGCAAAAGATTTTTAAAAATATATTTTTTTTATTGATTTCAGAGAGGAAGGGAGTGAGAGAGGGATAGAAACATCAATGATGAGAGAGAGTCACTGATCAACTGCCTCATGGACACCCCCCAGTGGGGATTGAGCCCGCAACTCAGGCATATGCCTTTGACCAAAATCGAACCATGGACCTTTAAGTCCGCAGGCCGATGCTCTATCCACTGAGCCAAACCAGCCACGGCTGAGCAAAAGATTTGAATAGCATGTTTTCAAAGATAAATGAATAGCCAATAAGCATATGAAAAGATGCTCAATATCATTAATAAATTAGGGAAATGCCAATCACAATCAAAACCACAATGATTTATACCTGTTCAGATTGAGGATAACTAAAATAAAAAAGGCATAATAATAGAAGTTGGTGAGGATGTGGAGATATTAGAATCCTCATTAATTGTTGATAGGAATATAAAATAGTGCAGCGCTTTGGAAAACAGTTTGGCTGCTCCTCAAACGTTAAACATGGAGTTACCTCTAACCCAGTAATTCCATTCCTAGGTCCATGTCCGAGGGAAATGAAAACAAGTTCATACAAAAACCTGTACATAGATTCCATAGCAATGCTATTTATAATAGCCAAAGGGCGGAAACAGCCCAAATGTCCATCAGTGTAAAATGGATAAACAAAATTTGGTATACCTACACAATAAAACATATAAAAAGATTGAAGTATTGATTCGTGCTACAAATGAATGAACCTGAAAAATATATACTAAGTGAAAGAAGCCAGTCACAAAAGACAACATACTGTATGAATTCATTTACATGGAGCGTCCAGAATAGTCAGATCCAGAAAATACATTAGTGGTTGCCAGGGCCTGGGACGAAGCAAAACTAGGAAGTAGGGGGAGTGGGGAATGGCTATTAATGGGCATATGGTTTCTTTTTGGGAAAATGAATATGGTCTAAAATTAGATAATGGTGATAGCTACACCTTCTATGACTTCACTACAAACTAAATTGTGTATTTTATTTTATTTTTAAAAAAACATTTTATTGATTTTTTACAGAGAGGAAGGGACAGGGATAGAGAGTTAGAAACATCGATGAGAGAGAAACATCAATCAGCTGCCTCCTGCACACCCCCCACTGGGGATGTGCCCGCAACCAAGGTACATGCCCTTGATCAGAATCAAACCTGGGACCCTTGAGTCCGCAGGCCAACGCTCTATCCACTGAGCCAAACCGGTTTCAGCTAAATTGTATATTTTAAAAGGGTGAATTGTGTGGTATATAAATTATGTCATAAAGCTGTTACTTTAAAAATTACATGGAATGTCCTGGCTGGTGTGGCTCAGTTGGTTGGAGCCTCATCCCGTACCCGTTTCAGGTCCCATCCCGGTCGGGGTTCATAAGGAAAGCAACCGATCAATGTTTCTCTCTCCACATCAATGTTTCTCTCTCCCTCTCCTTTCTTCTCTCTATAAAGTCATTAAAAACCTACCAAATTTTTTTAATTACATGGAGTTAGTTACACCATCTTTTAAAAAAGTTATTCTCTAATATTAGATTCTGCAAATTACTTGATATAAAGAAAGAAAATCCAGGGTTTAAAAAAAATTCAACATTAAACATCAGTAAGAAAATGTTAAGTTATAAATAAGTCGAGTAAAATACCATACCTTGCCAACCTGCTTGTAAGAAATTCCCTTTTGGTTACAGTACTCATAGATGAGGGCTGCACCCTGTACACATAATTTAGCTTTTAGAGATTCCGGTTTATAATAAATTCCACTATGTATGACACCACTGTTATGTCCAGTCTGGTGAATAGCTACCAAACAAGAGAAATAGGATAAGAGAAAAATAAATGACATACAAAACCTAAGAAGTGGGGGAACAAACATTTGAAGCTATCAGAGACCACATTATTTAAAATTCTTACAGCCAGAGTACTGGTAAATTTTCCTACCGCCATCTTTGTTGCCTGTGCCACATCCCTCCAGCCCACCTTTGTAGTTACAACTTTGGTGCACAAACTCACCTCTCACTTCCAGCATACAACTTTAAGGGACCATTATAGTTCCCTGCACTCTGCCCCAGGACCTTGTCTAATGTGGGGAAAGAGTACTCAACATTCCTAGAGGCAGTCCTCAACCAATAGGGACAGGAGCTGGTGGATAAATGACCATGGTGCTGGGAAATGTTTATGGAGCTCCTCAGAGGTCCCAGTAGAATCAAACTCACAGCAGCACCTTCAAGAAGGTACCCTCCTGTGGCTCTCCCTCCTTCCCTGTTTACTGTCCCTACCCCCTCACTCCTGTCTCCTAGAGAACCTCTCAAATTACTTACACCCAAGTCCTAGTCCCAGACTCTACTTTAGGGAGAACTCAAACTAGCATAGTACTAACATCGACACTCAGCATTACAGATGCAGAATTGACAAAATAAGAGGGTGTTCTGGATAAGCCTGAAGAGCAACACTGATAACATACATAAGCCATACATACCTAATTCCTTCTCCTTTTCCAGAACACCAATGGAAAGTGCTGGATGCCGCAGGATGAGTGCTCTGGCAGAGGCGAGCCCCACAATTCCGCCACCGATAACGACTACATCAAATGAGCTTCAAGAGAAAGTCACTTTAAAAATAATGCACGTTTACAGTAGACCTCATCAAACTTCACATGCAACACTGTTGTCATCTATGGATAATTAATTAAACTATTAATTTATAGTTGTTAAAAGCAAATATGTATTGGTTTTTGTGCTATTTGGCTTCATACTCAAGAAGATACCCTTAAAAGTTACCAGCATTGCTGGTCAGTAGAATAACCAGCTACACCCGGCAGGCAGGGTGGCTAGTTGATCAAGATGCTCTAAATCTCCACAGTACTCTGCCTGGGCCAGCTACAGGTGTTAAGCATCACACTCTTCTCTACCATCTATTCTTCTAAAATTCAAGTGCAGTATTCTTGAGGATTAGCTAACACATTAAGTCTTCAACACCTTGATATGCAACAATTTATAATCTTTTCTGTTAAAAAGAAAACAGCTAATAGGTTCAGAACCACAAGTTCAGCCACGTCAAACCCTGATTATACAACCATTCTAAAAACTAGAAAGGCCTTGTAAAGTCTAACTGCAATGAGGATGTAAAAGATTCCCTTTAGCACTGACCTTATGGTAAACAAATCTAAGTTTTAAAGGAATATTGACACTCTTGCTTCTCCCCTCCCCACCCCCATTTGATCCCCTTTGTATTATATTATTTTGATGCAAAAGATATGAACAAACATATCACCAAAGAGGACAGATATACAGGTGGCAAATAAGAACATGAAAATATGTTCAATTCTGCCGAGACCGGTTTGGCTCAATGGATAGAGTGTCGGCTTGGGGACTGAAGGGTCCCGGGTTCGATTCCGGTCAAGGGCATGTACCTTGGTTGCGGGCATATCCCCAGTAGGGGATGTGCAAGAGGCAGCTGATTGATGAATCTCTCTCATCGATGTTTCTAACTCTCTATCTCTCTCCATTCCTCTCTGTACAAAATCAATAAAATATATATTTAAAAAAAAAAAAAAAAAAAAAATATGTTCAATTCCATTACTCATTAGGGAAATGCAAATTAAAACTACAATGATATATCAGTACACTCATATCAAAATGGCTAAAAAAAACACACGATAATACCAAATGCTGGTGAGGATGATGAAGAACTGGATCCCTCACATATTACTGTAAGGAATGTAATATTAACAGTCACTCTGAAAAAAGAATATGGCAGTTTCTTAAAAAACTAAACATGTACTTACTGTAGGTCTTAGTGTCTGCCTTTAACCCAGAGAAAGAAAAAATTTGCTCATACAAAGATTGCACATAAATGTTTATAGCAGCTTTATTTGTAGCCCAAAACTGTAAACAACCCAGATATCCTTCAAATGGTGAATGATTAAAAAAAAAGTGATACAACTATACTATGTAATGATACTCAACAATTAAAGGGAATTACTATTCACATAGGTAACACTTAGATGGATCTCAAGGTGAAAAAAAAAAAAAAGCCAATCTCAAAAGATTACATACTGTGTAATTCTATTTACAGAACATTCTCAAAGTGGAAAATTATAGAGCTAGGGAATAGATTAGTGGTTGCCACAGGTTAGCAAGAGGTTAGAAAGGTGTAGAGATGAGATGTGAATATAATACAAGGGATATTTTTGTATTGATGGAATATTTGTTTCTGAATTGTGGTGGTAGTTACACAAATTAACACATAATTAAATTGCACACACAAATGAGTGCATGTAAAACTAATGAAATCTGAACAAGGTTCATGGATTGTACAGATGTCAATTTCCTGGTTTTGATATGGACTATAGTTATGTAAGATGTTATCATTGGGGTAAATAAGAGTGCTGCTTTGTTGCAAACTTTTATAAATCCATAATTATTTCAAAATAAAAAGTGTAAACAAAACCTTCCCTAACCCTACTTTTCTTTCCTTAAAAAAAAGCTTCCCCAAATCCTATCCCATTTTAATCCCCCTCCAATACAATAACATAAAGCAACCAGAGTAAATTTTTAAAAATTGATTAGCATTCAATCACTCCCTCTTCTCAACAACCCTTTAAAAGCTTCCAAACGCTCTTAGAATAAAATTCACCTTGCAATTAAAATAAAATAAAACCCCTGATGTAGCCCGTCTCCGGTGTCATTCCACACCATCTCTGACGCTAAGCTCCAGTCACACTTAACTTTGTAATTCTCGAAACAGCCAAGATTTCCAATCTAAAGAAGGAAAACAGTGGTTTCCAATGTGACCTCCAAACTTTAAATCACAGGACCATGAATTCTGCAGACTTTGATTAGACACTGAGCTGCTTCTCCTTGAGGTAACTCTACGCAGTGTCCGCCTGGAACTGATCTAAGACTGGAATCAGATCTTCTAAGGAACACCAGAGATGCCAGCTAATAAACAGCGTGATTTGATTGCTTACAGTGGGCTGGGTCCTTGAACGCTCAAAACGATCACCTGCGGGAGAGCCTAGCTCCAATTGACAGCCGAACCTTCAAGGAGCTTAAGCAAACCCGCCCAGAGTAACGTAGGTCGTGGAGGGGGTGTATTCAAAGACAGACTGTAGTAGCCCTCTACTCAACACTCTTATTCTCTTTCCTCCCGCCCACAAACACAACGAATCCATCCTGCAGCTAGCTCCTGAGATCCGAGTTTGGAGCCCGCGCTCCCCCGGACCTCGACCTTCTCTCACGCCGGGGGCAGGGAAGCAGAGCCAGGGCTCAGGTCCAGCAAGGAGCGCCTCTAAGATGCAGCGCCCGCGGCGGGGGCGGGCCAGCGGCTACTCACCTCGTGCTGGCTCCGCGGCCACCCTGGCACAGCGGCCGCGGCCACCCCAGCGCGGACCCGCACGCCGCGGCGGGGATGCCCCTGGGGAAACCCCCGCGGGCCCACCCGCAGGCAGTGCCCAGGTAACGCAGCGCGGGCACCATCGCCTGCGTCCCCTCCCCGGCCGCAGCCCCAGCTGGGCCAACGGAGCAGGACGCTCTGCAGAGACCGCGGTGTCCTCTGGGCCTGCCCCCCGCGTACGGGCCAATGAGGCGCGCGCCTCCGCTCACGTGGGAGCAGCCGCCGGGGGGCCAATGAGCGCGCGCGGCGGAGGGCGAAGGGCAGGCCGGCGCTGCGTACACGCCGGGACGCTCGCTCGCGCCCTCCCTGCGACGCAGTGAGTTGAGGAGCCGGGCCCGAGCGGGACGGGCCGAGGGTGGTGGTTTCACTCTGCCCTTTTCCTTCTCCCCGCGCGGGGTTTACCGAGAACCTGCCCCGCCGCTTCGCGGGGTCTGACCTTTGACGTCCACCGGATGCGGGGCCCGGCATGATTGTAGTGAAAACTCGATTGGACGGGCCCAGCGGCCTCCCTTCTTTTCGGCCCGCCCAGCCCCGTCGGGTCCCGGGCTCCCCGGCTCCCCGGCTCCCCGGCTCCCCGGCTCTCGGGCCCCGGCCCGGGTCAGCTCGAGGCGGATGGCTGAGCACCCGCGGTCTCCATCCCGGCGCCGCCCAGACCGGTGCCCGGTGCCCGCTGAAGGCGCCCGCCGGCCGGCCTGAGCCCGCCCCCCGGACCGAGGCCCGTACAGCCGCGCGGTCTTCTCTCCGTGGGGCTCCTGACGCGGCCATCCACCCGGTTATTTGTGGAGATAATAATACTTACCTGTACACATACGGTGGCCAGACGTCCCGCTTCTGGCGGGACAGTCCCGATTCTTAACAATGTGTCCCGCGGCGTTTTAAAAAAAAGTCCCGAGGGACTTTTTTTTTTAAAACGCCGCGGGACACATTGTTAGAAATCGGGACGTCTGGTCACCTTATGTACGCACCGCCTGGATGAGCCAGGCCACCCTTTAGCGATGATGTGTTTCCTTATGGTTCATTCTGGGCCCAGATGCAGTCAGTGTTCAGTACGCCGTGCGGGCCTGGGTTGCCGGCTCACCTGCACGGGCCACCCTCCCGAGCTCCTACCTGGAGAGGGAGGAGGTGGGCTGTGAGCTCCCCAGTACCTTATTTCTCTTACATTATGTGGTTGTCACTGTGCCAGCTTAACGCCCTGCGGAATGGCAGTTTGACGCTTGTAGGGTCAGAACAGCTGGACAGAAAAACAGAATGACACAGCTTCACTGCTGGCAGGACTTGACCTGTCCGTTTGGATTTGGTTCCAGTCGTCAGGCCGGTGGCCTCTGGAAGCCAGTTCACCTCTGTGCCCGGCCCCGCCCGCCCCCCATGGAGTAGGGCTGATTAATGGCAGAGTCTCTCTCAGAAGGCTCATCAGGTTTTATTTAGCACAGTGAAGATTCGGGCATTATTCTGCTCCAACGGTTTTAACCCTTCTGGATAAGTTGTACATGTTTTGCTCTTTGTGAAAACAACATAGAATGTTACCTTTAAAAAAAAAAAAAAGGGATGGCTATTTTTGAAATTAAAAAATTTTTTTTTTGAAATAATTGTAGATTTCCATACAGTGAAGAAACAGAGATTCTGGGTGCCATTGATACTCAGTGTCCCTCAATGATAACATCTTGCAAAACAAGGGTACATTACTACCAGGCAGTTGACATTGACACAGTTCATCAATTTTATTTAGATTTCCCCAGGGTTACGTTTATGTGTGTATTTAGCTCCACATCGTTTTTGTCACGTGTGTAGGTTCTTGTGTCCACCCCCACTGCCAGGCGTCAGCACAGCTGCCTCACTGGAATCCCTCCCCGCCCCTTTATAACCACACCTCCCCACAGCAGGGCACCCTTCCCCAAGCTTCCTCCCTTTCTAAAAAATTGTCACTTTAAGAACTTATATAAACAGAATTATACTGTGTGTAACTTTTGGGAAATTGGCTTTTTTCCCCACTCAGCATGATCCCTTGAGGGATCATGATATGTATTGATGGCTCATTCCTTCTTCCTGTCCAGTAGTATGTCATGGTACCGCAGTGTGTTCAACCATTCACCCATTAAAGGATATCTGAGTTGTTGCCAGTTTTTAACTATTTTTTTTTTAAATAAAGCTGCTGTGAACATTACAGCTTTTTATGTATGAACCTATTTTTGTTTCTCTGAGAGAAATGCCCAAGAGTACAATTGCTGGATCATAAGATAAGCACCTGTTTATTTTTATGGGAACTGCCAAACTGCTTTTCCAAAGTGGCTGTAGCTTTATACATTTCTACCAGCAATACTCGAGTGATCCACTTTCTCCTGAGGATATTTTTCTGTTGATTTTTAGAGCGAGTAGAAGGGAAGGAGAGAGGCAGAGAGAGAGGAACATCAATGTGAGAGAGACACATCGATTGGTCGTCTCCCACACGTGCCCCAACCAGGGCCTGCAACCGAGGTTCGTGTCCTTGACTGGAATTGAACCCAGAGCCCTTCAGTCCATGGACTGACGCTCTATTCACTGACCCAAACCAGTTAGCTCGGTGTCACTATTTTTTATTTTAGTCATTCTGATAGGTATGTAGTGGAGATGGTTATTTTTAGTTTGCACAGATGTAGTAGTTGATTTGTTACTAGACTGAATACAGAATTAGACACTTCCAGGGTCTGTGATCAGACTTTCATGGACCTTAGTAGCTTTTTATTGCTCTGATTTTGAGCATGTGTTTCTTATTTAACAAGGTAAAAGCACTCCAATACATGTTTTATAAATTTTTTTTCTGCTTACCCTCTCCCCTTTCAGTTAAGTAATTTCAAATCAAGAGCTCACCTTACATTTATACACCCTGTAATATATTTGGTTAGCGACATTTGTGTTCCTGAGTGACCACCCTCAGCTGAGAGGTCTGGCCTTTTCTAAGTCATAAACATAATTGCAGATTTTAGAAACATTACAAATGTATGGCTCTAAGCCATGTTATGACAGTAAGAAGGTCTTTTTAAATTATTTTAAATACTGAATTATTTATTGCAGCAGTAATTTAGTAGTAATGTTTAACACTTTAACTGGTTTAATTCCTTAGAGTTAAATTCACCAACTCACCACTAGAGGTCTCCTCTTTCCATATATCGATAGAAAGCATTTCCAGAGGTAGCTTGAATTCATTAGAAATTGCTAATACTAATTAGCAGTTACATTTGAGAATGTAAAAACCTTCCAATTTATTTTTTACCTTTATTGATAAATAAAAATTTGATTTTTATATTTAAATTATTTTAATATATCTAGTATTTTTAGAAATCATAGCGGAAGTAGTAAATTTGGCCTTTTTCTTAAGCTGATTTATAAGGTGGGCCAAAATAAGTCAAAGTACATCAGTTTTTCATAGACCACTAAATTTACCTGCTTAATAACAGTTTCTCTGGTTTTTACCTTTCTCCATGAAAATATATCAATCATTAAAGAATATTAGCAAATATTTATTAAACTATTGCATTGTGCTAGGTACTACACAAAATGGAAATGAATAAGATATGATCCTTGGGCTTCCTTTTTCTCTACATACTTTTCTTTTTTCTGCCTAACTGGAAACTTTTAATCATCTTTTAAGAGCCATCCGAAAAGAAAAGTCTTTTAGGCTCTGTCAGAATTTGTTCATATTTCTACTAAGACACCATGTTGCATACTATTTCTTTATGTCTCCTGCCTTCATTAGACTATAAATTCTCTGAGGACAGGAACCATGTCTTTATCTCATGGTTCTGTTGTTTTATTTTGTTTTTCTATCTTCCTATTATATCTCTTGAACTAGGTATGGCAGACATTCAATACATATTTATTGAGTGAATGAATAGATGGATGGTTGAAGATGGCATTTGAATAAGATCTTGAAGTTGGGTAAGATTTCCATAGACAAGATTGGGTGGGTAGAGAGGAATGGTACAGCATGAGTAGAACTGAAGCTAGAAAACCCAGATTTATAAATGAGGTTGGCAGCCAGTGGAGTTATTAGAGGTGGACACAGATGGAGGAAGCTTTAACAAAAAGCTGGGAGGGGCTGAGGTTGTGAAAGAATAGCAGGGGGGAGGGAAAGTTTGCAGTAATGCAGTCAGAGTGATGGTGGAAAAGGGAGGGAGTGGGTAGGTGATTCCAGATTCTGTCCTTAGACCTCATCTCTCACTGTTCCACAACCTCAACATCCTCTGAGGTGGCTCCCACTCAGGCCTCTTTCTATTCCTCCCTTTTTCCCTGAGTTGCAGGGCTATCTTATGACTAAGAGCTCTGGACTGGGAGTAGCCAGAACTAGGTTCAAGTTTCAGCACTGCCACCAGTTAGCCATGAAACATTGGGCAAGTCCTTTTAAACACATGCATTTATTAAAACCCCACCTTGTTCTGGAAAGGATGTAGGGTGTCAGCCAGTTACTTAATATCAGGGCTTCAGTTTCCTCGTCTCTAAATGAGGTGACATGGGGACAGTTTAGTCTAGGTGATCTGAGTTCCTTCCAGCTATACCATTTTGTGACTCTGATTCTAATCACTTGTTGGTCATTTCCTCTTAGAAGTTCTGCCAACACTTCATATTTAGAATGTGAAGAACTGGGGAGTAAACCACAACCCTGTCCTTCTGACATTGATTTCATAATGGCACCATCATCCGACCAGTGACTCAGGAGCAAAACTTGGTGTCATCTTCAGTTTCTCTGGTCCTCGCCCCTATAATCTCACTTTCTGAATCACGTGGAATCCATTCTGCAATGTCATTCCAATTCTCCTCTCCCTACTCCCCTCTCCCCCACCCCCCAGCCCTTTCCCATGGCCACATGTAGTTGAAGCCCTTGTTAGCTGTCTCTTTCTGGTGCTAGTGTACTCGATCTTGACGTTGCTGTTTGAGTAATATTCCTGAAGCATAGTTCTCAAAATGCCTGTGTTGTGTGCTAAAATTTCAGTGACTCACAGCCACCTGCAGAAGAAAGTCCAAATTTCCTGGCTGATTATGCCAGAGCCTTTCTGATGTGACTGAGTAAATTGTCTCCTCTTCTCATTACCCTCATACACTAACTAAACTGAAATGCAACATGATTTAAATGTCCCTGCCTCAGCTTATCACCTGGATTATTGAAATTCTGGTCTGTTTTTATTTTAACTTTTGAAGTAC